TTTTTTTCGTTTTTTGTTCAGTCCTAACATTTATAGCACCTCGTATGTTCGGTTCCATGTTTATTTATGCTGCGCAAACATATGCGACTCCTTTGTTTGTTGTTTGTTTTGTTTATCCATTTCCATTTTCAATTCATATTCTCCGGTTTCCGATCGATGATTCTTTTTGTTTGTTCCGCTCGTTCCTCGATGATCCATTCTCAGACACTACGCTTATCATAACTTAACACCGCCATCTTATTTAGCTTGGTACTTCGTCAATCATTCCCTTGCCCGCTCTTGATAACTTTTGAACAAGGGCCCAGTCGGCCTCTCGGCACATTTTGAGTTGGCTTGTTGAATGCAAGTGGGAAAAGTCTGATCACCAATATCCATATCCATACTCCCGATGCAACGTACGGTTTCTTTTGGGTTCCTCAGGTATTGAATATTTGCTTCGATCCTTCCACCAGTCAGGATTTCCCACGCTCATTCATTCCCTTCCCTTGCCTTAGACGGTAGATAATAAACACGAACAAGGCTCTCCCTTTCACTTCCATTCTTCCCCTCTCTTTTCTTACTACCTACCCATTCCGTTTTCACGCCCCCAGCCATCTGACCATACATATTGTGTGTGATCTGTGCCATGCTCTCAGCCGGACGGATATTCATTTTATTCTCTGCTACACTACTTAAACGCCTCGTACGCCTGCAAACGTCGACTGGACTGTCTGCCTGCCACCTAAGCTAGGCTATCGTCGCTTTCTATATCCAAATCCAATCTCACTTACATTTGCCCAGTCCTGCATTTGCCTTTCCTCTCGACAATTCCACCGCGGTCTAACTCTGGTGATTCAAAGCCTGTCTTGTCCAATACTGTTTCAATGGTGAAAGATGTCGCAGTGATTAATTACACTTATAACTTATTCTAACTTCTAATCATCATGCAATTGCTTTGTCGTGATTCAAGGCCAACTCAATACTTTTAGACCATGTTTTATAAGGCTCAGCCCAGACCGGGCTCTTTCCTTTACCGTAGCCTGGACTGAACAAAGACGCCATATCGTACCTTCCTTACCATCACCTCACTGCAACGCACTGCACCCGACCCGAGCTGCACCGTAGCTTACCTGCCTACCTACATTTTTAATTCCACCCCGACCAGACCTGGGCTGGCTTGTCTCGTCTTGTCTTGACCTGGACTGTCCCTGCAAATCAACCCACAGCATCATCACCACTCACTACTAGTCCTAGTCACTGTAAGGAGTCTGGGTCTCGTTTCGCCTCGCCTCGCCTGGTCTGGTCTGGTCTCATTCGCACAAGACGTGGCATTCGCTTTATTCTCTGCCATCCTAAGTACTTGATTATCAAGTCTTCCATGTCTCTTACCAAAGCTCGTCTGTCCTCCACACCAATTTATTCCCTTATTTCCCCTCCATCTCTTCCGTCTTCTTTTACTTCCTCTTCCACTCTCTTGATCTGTGGTTGACTCTCAAGACGCAAACGCAAAAGACCCTTGCTCGGTTGCCAGACAACACCCCGCCTCAACATCGTATCGTCGCAGTACGCCGCCGCTAGAGTCGACTACGTCGTCATCGGCGTTATCGCAGATATCCGATAACAAACGACTGCCCCTCATCATCATACGCATTCATACCGATAGCCATATTCAGACCTAGCCGCTCTCAGCTCAGTCTCTCTCGCCCTCTCTAGCTTCCTCCGCGGCCAACTTTCGTTATTCGGCCCTCGCTCTCATTTCCACTCTTACTCATACTCTCAATCTCAATCTTACTCTTCCCGCAACAACTCTCAGTCTACTTACCCTGCCTCGGCGTCCGGGGTGCTGTGGTCTCATGACCACAACCGTTCTGCGTCCCCGATCACCGCTCTGTGACTGCAGCGTGCTACCAATACTACTAGTCCAACACTCATATAATACGAATACACTTACCCATCCATCTCTTACGTGGGCATTCGTGCAATCAGTCTTCTGCCTGTCTTGCTCCCTAAACTTTCGTGCTGTTCAAGACCTACTCACGACGACAACGACGACAACATCTCCCTTTGCAACTTCAGTAAGCTGCAGCTGAGGTTGTGTTCTGCGCGCGACTCGCTCTCGGGTGAGCCAACATCGCCGACATCACATCATATTCGGCACAATTGTCTCGCAATGGATCCTATGAATTACACCATGTCGAATAGTTACAGTCGGCCAAACGGTCACTACGATCCAGTGCATTCTGCTTCAGGCCCTTGGGTACCCCATCCGCTGTCACAAAACCCAGCTCCTTACCCATGGCCAGTACCAAACCCGAACCTACCTCACCTCTATTCACATCATGTTGGACCGCCTGCGCCTAACTCTGGTCCAGATACATATAGTCAACCTGCAGCTATGTTACCACCTCTCCAAAACCTGCCCGCTTCCGGTTCGTTTTCAGGCAACATGCATGGGCCAATATCACCACGATTCCACAGTCACCCTCAATCGTATCGCAGCAGTATGCCGCTCCCCGTTCCGCCAATACACGCAAGCACCGGCAGTCACAGCCACGACGCAGCGTTTGCAAACCAAATTCCAAGTAACACAGATATGGAGTGGCAGTCACATATACCGGGAAACCCAGGCCCGGAAGTCTATTCAATGCATCAATCGAATTACCCGTATGCTGATCCTGGCATGAATCACTTTGGCCACAACCACAACCACGGCAACGCTTACCTTCCACATTTTGTATCAGCCCCCCAGCCACCACCACCACATTTTCCAACGCCGACAAGACGAAATCATCCCTCAAGTGGCTCTCCTATCACCAGGGGGTTTGGCAGTATTCTTCCTTCCCCCAACAGTAAGCCCCTTTCAATTTTACCAACACATCAACTCCCCCTTTCAGTAGCACGAACTGCGGGTTTGCGGAACCTTGCTTGCTTTGTGCACGCCTTCAAGTGCTAATAATGCTGCTCTAGGACCTGCCCCTCCCTCGTCCGGATTTCGCAGAACCAACCCACGACAACGCAGATCAGCTTCATTGCGCAGCATGGCGGCAGAAGTCGGACGCGAGGATGGCGATGAAGAATCCTTTGGCATCGCAGAGTATGGACGTCGCAGTCCAGGTGGCTATTCAGAAGAAACGGAAGAGATGATGGTCCGGCATATGCAGATTGCCAGAGGCATGTCGAACAAGTTGGTGGCTTCAAAACTTACACTCCGATCGCTCCAGAGCGTCAAGCTTGAGGAGTTGCCCGAGGCAGATCGAAGTGAGAATTTCCTCGCAGGTAAAACAAGGCAGATGCTGACGATTTTTAGGTTGTGTCATTTGCTATAATGAGTATGGTGCCGAGACTCCTGAGGGTATCAACGAGGCCCCCCTTCGCTTGCCGAAATGTGGACATGTCTTTGGCGACCATTGCATCAAGAAGTGGTTTGAAGATTCGGATAGCTGTCCGTACTGCCGGGACAAGCTTCATTCAGAACCAAAGACACAGCCCGCTACTTCTACTAGAGCATTCGTAAACATGCTAAGATCCAGAGGCGTGCCCACTAGGTACGTAAAATCGAGTGTGGATCGCTCACTTGAGCAATCAGCTGATAGGTTAAGCAGTAGCTGGGGACCAGAAGAATTATCAGATATCATTCGTCTCGGATCTCACTATGCAGGAGGTCGACGAATCGACTCTCCGACTCGACACGCGTCGGCACAAACAGCAAGAAGATCGCCACCTACAGAAGGTGGTGAACACCAGCACCGACGGACTCGGGCACGCCACAGTAGTTCAAACACGCATGATGCTGCACCTTTGCCTGAAACCCGCAACCGAACAGCTTCCCGGGAAACGCCTACGCAGCCCGCTGCACCTGGCATTGAACTGCCCTCGATACGACAGCAAGTTGAACAATTGCCGGTGGAAGGACAGATCCAGGAATGGAGGCGGGGTAACGCCCAGGCTGCGAACGCGGTATCGACGACAACCCAAGATCCCAGTACAGAAACTCAATTGCCCCCCGCAGTCTTGCCAGAGCTATCTCCATTTCCTCCACAGGAGGCACGGGACCAGGACCGGATATCCAGGACTCTGCGAAACCCTTTGCAGGCACAGATTGGTTCGCCCTACGAAGGGCTTGGAAACAATGAAACCGCACCAGACATGCCTTACCGCTCAACTCAGGCATGGTAGTGGTGTCGTCGAGATCAACGATGACAACAGGTCTGCGAAATCGCAAATTGGACAGCTAGACGCAAGCAAAAGATGTATTCAGAGCGCACTTGAGGGAACACGATTAATAGCATGGAAGCTATCGACTCTTTGAGGCCACAGCCTCATCTCCTGCAACATGCTGAGCGGGTGCTATCTGAGGTTCCGAATCACAGATATGCAAGGACAGCATCCAACACGGATCGGCGTTGAGTTTGCGACAAGTTTATGAAATTGCACGAGGTTAATGATTTTTTGGACGGTGTTTCTGGTTGCTTTTATCAGGGCCACAAACTTACGGATACGGTTAATAGATGTCATTCTATGGGTCGAGAACAAGGGTGGAGGATCACTACAGTATCGAACTAGTGACCTATGAACGCATCGGAATTAGCGATATATTGGTTGACAGACAAGACATGAATGCACGTGTTGATAGGTAAATAAAGCATGGATGCAATGCGTGTATGGACACTCTGTACTGTACTGTACTGTGCTGTGCTGTGTTTCCAAGACAAGACCCTAGCTTGTTCCGTGGGGCTAAATGAAACGCTTGGTTCATTCCATCTCCGCTCCGCAAACGATACTAGAATAGAACTAGCGCAGCCCAAGAGCGGAGGATTTCATTGTATCGATGATGCCCCGTTGGAACGGCACGGCGTAATGTTGACCACCGGGTCGGAGCCATGTGCTGCGCGTCCGAGGCATCCATTCATATGTCTCTGACGGCTCGAGTCTGAGAGTCTCTAGTCTCAATAACCCGGGTCTTGGGATTCGGGGCATCCTATCCCCACCACATGTAAGATAGACGAATCGCTTATATACCGTTCCCTGTCTCCGTACCCCCTTGGCCTTTTGGTTAAGACGCGCAACACCCGCCCATGACAAGTGTTTGCTTTAAACTCGACGTGTACACGTAACTTGACTGCCATTCCACTCTCTCCCAGTACAAGTAAACACCTGAGATTGGGTTATCATGGGTTTGCCGTGGCAGATCATTACAGCGACCTCAGCTATAAGCAGCTTGTCTCTCGCCTGGTCGCGGGACAGTTGGTCTAGGTCCCAGCTCTTGGGACACTTTTCAATATTTTGGATTGCTGGGTTCGTTGTCTGGGGAGTGTGGGCGACATGGATATATCCATTCTTCGTATCGCCGCTGCGACATCTTCCAGGGCCTTCGGGCAACCATTGGTTCATGGGACAGTCAAAGAAGATCATGGCAGAGCCCTCGGGTGTACCAATGCGACAATGGTTAGTGAATACCTATTCAGGGTCGTATTTTGGGTGTGATAGCTGACGAACAAACACTTAGGGCCGCCGAAATTCCTAATGATGGACTCATTTGTTATCGTGGCTTCTTCAACCAAGAGAGGGTTATGGTATCATCACCCAAAGCATTGGCCGAAGTACTTGTCACCAATAGCTACGCTTTTCCGAAACCCAGTCACTTTCGATGGTCCATTGGCCGTATCCTTGGAGTCGGCATCTTACTTGCGGAAGGCGAAGAGCACAAGATGCAGCGCCGTAGCTTGACACCCGCGTTCGCCTTTCGTCACATCAAGAACTTATATCCCGTCTTTTGGCGCAAAGCCAGAGAAGTGACTAGAGCAATGATGGCAGAGTTCAATCAACAGGAAGAGACCAAAGTTGAGATATCCGGTTGGGCATCGCGAGCGACACTCGATATCATCGGCGTTGCTGGGATGGGACGGGACTTTGGCGCCATCAAGAACCCGGACAACACACTCGCTCAAACATACAGCAAGATTTTCAAGCCGTCTCGCCAAGCCCAGATCCTTGCTCTTGTTGGCATGATCATTCCCATGGAGTTTATCACCAAGCTGCCTTTCCGACGAAACGAGGATATATCCAAGGCTGCAAGCGATATTCGGGCAATCTGTCGAGATCTGATCCAGGAGAAGAAGGCAAAGATGGCCAACAAGGAGCAAGCTGACGTTGATATTCTCTCTGTGGCGCTTGAGAGCGGTGGTTTTACTGACGAGAATCTGGTCGATCAGCTCATGACATTTCTCGCTGCAGGACACGAGACAACAGCATCAGCCATGACTTGGGCAATCTACATGCTCTCACGATATAGCGATATTCAGACCCGGCTTAGAGAAGAGGTACGCGAACGTTTGCCATCAGTGGATTCGGATGTCGATATTACCAGCCTCGACATTGACCGCATGCCATATCTGAATGCAGTATGCAGCGAAGTTCTTCGATATTACGCCCCTGTACCTTTGACGATGCGCGATGCCGCATACGACACTACCATCCTGGGCCACCCAATTCGCCGCGGCACTCGAGTTGTCATAGTACCCTGGGCAACACATTTCGACCATGATCTTTGGGGTCCAGACGCAGACCAATTCAACCCAGACCGATGGCTCTCAGCAGATGGAGAAAATGGTGCCGATCGCAAAGCCGCAAGTGGGGGAGCGAGCAGCAACTACGCTTTCCTGACGTTCTTGCATGGGCCGCGAAGCTGCATCGGGCAGAGCTTCGCAAAGGCAGAGTTCGCTTGTCTTCTGGCAGCATGGATCGGTCGGTTCGAATTCTCGCTGGCGAATCCGGAAGAGATGGATGAGAAGAATGTGGAAATTCGGGGCGGTGTAACGGCCCGGCCCGCTAAAGGGATGCACGTCAAGGTTAAGGTTATCGGCGGATACTGAAATCAAATGCAAGGCATACATAGGTAGTGGCATGGTATAAGACCATGAATTAAGGGTCTTGAGGTTGCTATGTATTTCTAAGGTTATTGGGTAGGAACATTGGGACACAGTACAGGTGGAAAGTATGTTGGCGTTTATATGAAGTTTGTCCACATTGGATGTTAGATGTCGTAGTAGGAAAGACAGTGGGTAAGCCGGCAGAACGAGAAATGCAAAGAAATATCATGATATGAGTAAAGACAAATAACTGTCACATTTCCCGAGTCATTCAATTGCATCTCCATCCTGTATTGTTCTAGTTGACGGGTAATGATGGGACGAACGGGTGGTCAGCGTTAGCCTCCATAACGCTACCTTATAAGACAAGACAACTAATTAAATGGTATTCGGTAGTTGAGATTGATCCAACAGTGCCGAAGTAGAAACATAGTGTCTTGGTTATTGTATTGTAAAAAATATTACAACACACTCAATATCCAACCATTTCGACATATTGCAGATAAGAAATCCCCCGATTCTTAATACTGTTACAGGGTAGACCTATCGGATCGACTGCATAAGTGTAGTGATTGCTCAACTGCAGATGACTTGCCAGCTGGCAATGCAATGGATCATGGATGGGTCATTAAAGAGAAGTGGATAATGACGAAGGCGCTAACCAATGTGTGGCGGCCTGAATGAGGCCTCTAACTAATAAATTATGCCGGAGATCCATTGGAGCAGTTTTGATTAAAGTCCCAACGCCCTTGATAAAACAGGCCACTTACTCTCTCTTGCTTGGCTGGCTGGCTGCCCTGAGCTGTTAAACCTAGAGCTTGTCTGGCCTTGTCCTGTCTTGTCTTGAACTTGACTCTTGGTTCTTGCAACGTACATCTCAAACTAAAAGCTACCACCACTTAATCGAATCTCGCCTATCTATCTACTATCTACCTAATATCCTTACAGCATATACCCTACACACATAATCCAAGTCAAGCTTTTTGAGGATCGGATCGACCAAATTTGACGCCCAGACCTCTTAAGTCGCCGTGCCTCACAAAAGAAAAAGAAAGGCCCTCATTCAGCTCTCATCAGCACCAACAGAAGCCAAAAAGGGCCTCATAGATCGAATCTTGGACCCGCCTAAAATCTGAAGCTCAACCAACGACGTTGAACCCCAGCCACCGCCTGTTTAGCGGGCCGCGACCAAAACGGGTCCCCCCATGATAGGAAAGGAAGGCTGGAGCTCGGGTCCAGGTCCCCATTTCTTCGTTCCCGTTCCCGAAATCAAAACACCATCAAAACATCATCCTTAAAATTTAATCAATACCCTGACTAATTCGCATCGCAACGTCGGTAGACCGTAAAACCGGCGCAATGCAGCGAGAAGACCGCTCTCGGGACCCCGAGGGCTCTGGTTCTCGTCGCCGGTGGTACGAGTCTCGCGATCGCGATCTTACTCCAAGAGCTGGAGATCAGGGAGACTCGCACTCACGCTCGTACTCGCGTCAGCAACAGCAAACACCACAGCAACCACCAGAACCGCAATCGCCATATACACCAACCATGTATCAATCGCCAACCCAACAGCGACAGTACGATCCGCAACGATATGACCAGTATCAAATGTACCAACAGTCACCACAGCAATACCCGCCATTGCCACCACGTCAACAACAGTACCCGTATCAGTATCAATACCAACAGCAGTACCAACAACAACAGCAGCAGCAGTCGCCTTACTATAACGCACCGCCTCAATTGATGCCCAGTCATAATAGTCCTTACCAGCAGCAACAGCAACAGAATCCGCAACGACCGCAAACGCCTTCAAGTGTCTTTTCGTCCTCCAGTGATACATCAACGTCACTGCTAGATATCTCGCGATTCAAGGACACGAAACAGTATGGTGGCGTATTTGGCACGTTTTTTAAGGCGCCCTCGGACAGGGTTAAACAGCGCCTCCATCGAAAGAAAAGCAAGAAGCGTCGCGTACTGTACTTTGGCAATTCTTCATCATCTTCCGTAAACTCTGATTTGGCCTATGGAAACGGTTATGTGCGCCAACCAAAGAGCCGTACCTTAAGCCCCCGAAGTCAAAGTCGTACCTCTGGCCAAGGTTACACACCCGCCGCCGCAGGCCCTGGTCCAAGCCAGGGACGGCGACGTAGTTCTGGAGGGTCTGATCGTGCTGCGCGATTGACCCCCAAGAAGAAGAAGACTGCTGATGAGGAGATCATGGCGCTCGGCCAGCAACTTTCTAACCTGGCGCGCCGATCCAAGGAAGACGAGGAACGTCAGGCGCGCAAGGCATCAGGTAAAGGTAAGGGTAAGGCCGCCGCCATGGGACTCGCAGCTGGTGCTGCCGGCGCTGCTATGGCTTCTCAGTACGGCAAGAATGGACGAGGCGCGAACAACCTAAAACAGCGCGTTGAATCTTCAGACGATGAAGATGACTGGGAAGATGCTTCGGATGACGAGGATGGAGACGACTCATCAAGCAGTGACGGCGCAGGCTCAGGTGGCGATTCAGAGCTTGCGTACGGGACCGTTGCAGAGTCTAGCAAGCCTGCCTTCGGTGGAGCCGCAGCAGCAGCTGGAGGTGCAGCAGCTGCCGCCTATATGGCTGACCACCGGAGACAATCTAGTTACGGCTACGACTCGTCACCTGAGTATCGACGACATGGCGACAGAGGCTCGATTGTCGACCCTCGTCTTTTTGGACCCTACAACTCGCTGCGAGGCTCAATCAACACACCGTGCGGATTCCGGGATGAGAATGAAGCTGCTGCGTATCGCCGTGATTCTGCCAACTTTGGAAACGGTGGACCAATCCAGATGCAAGACATGTATTCGGGCTCTAACCGTTATGATGGTGACCGTTTCTCAACTCCCATCGCACAGCAGGACCCGTCAGCCCGACCTCCCCCTGTCCCCTTACAACAGCCAGTTCCCAAGGTGCCTGTGTCATCAAAGGTTTACGATGCTGAGAAGGTTGATGATGCAAACCGCAGAGACCAACGACAGCGTCGCTCCGAACAGCCCGAGGAGAAGGGTTGGGGTGGAGCAGCCGCCGGTGGCATTGCTGCTGCAGCTGCAGCGGCTGGTGTGGCCATGGCTTCCTCATCGAAGAAGGATGGCCGTGAGCGCCGGGATGAGCAGCAGCGCGATCATGACGACCGAGAGTTGCAGCAACGACTCGAGAAAGAACGCCAGAGAGCCCTCGAGCTTGAAGAGCAGAAACTCCGAGAGCTTGAGCGTCAAAAAGCGCGAGCCCAACAAAGGGTGCAGCATCCCGAAACCGAGGCTGAACGACACGAAAGATTGGAGAAAGAACGTGCACGAAACATGAAATGGGAACGTGAATACCGCGAAATGGAGCCCGAGGCTATTATTCCCAATTATAATAATGAGCGAAAATCTTCACGATATAATGATCATGACGATACCCCCAAGGATAGAAACGAGAAGGAGAAGAGTAATGTCGATGTAGTGGTTGCCCCCAAACGGGATCAGAACGAGGGCAAACCATTCGGAATCCAGTACGGTTCGGAGTTCCAGCTTGAGCGCGAGCCTTCTGTCAAGTCTCAACCGAGCGAGCGCAAGCCTACACAGAATGGTCGTGACCTTCCTCTAGCGACTGGTGCAGGCCATCAAGCCGTGACAGACTCGACCAAGTCTACATACCCGGATATTGATCCTTTCCAATACCAGGTTTCAGACGATGCTTTTACCATGTCTCATCCTACGACCCCTGGACGACCCCTTACACCTAATGTAGTTACTATTGAGCGCGAACCTAACTTTGACGATTCTCCACCAAGAGATTTGTCTGTCGATGCTCGACTAAGCCGCCGCGACTCCTTTGAGATTCAGCGCATGGTCGAAGACTACCACCGAGAGTCGCAAGACGCATCGCAGCGTCGTGACCCTCGAAATGGCCATGAGTATGAGGAGGAGGAGCACAAGGCTAGATCGATCCTTGATGAAGCTAAGCACGCTACTATTCCTGTCGCAGCCGCTGCAGTCGCATCCGCTGTGGCAGTTGAGAACGAGCGTTCGCAAGAGCGTCGAAAGCGTCGATACTCAGACGACAGCTCTCAGGACACCTCTCGAAGCCGCAAGGATGCAGTTCAGGAGGAAGCAGACCGATACTACCGCGAGACCAACATCGCTCGAAAGATCGCTTCTGATGAAATGCGATCACGAAGTGCTTCGCCTGAGAGATCCGTGATTGACAAGTGGCAAGAAAGCAAGAACGAATCATTCACTATTGTCACGCCACCATCCATGGATGACAAGCACACCGACAAGAGCATCTATGAAGGCCCTGACGCAGATGTGAAGATCGATAACAAGATCCATCCCCGGGAAGAGCATCATTACCGCAATGTTGGCAACAAGTCTTCCAGAAGGAACGTTTCGCGAGAGCGTCCCCTTTTGAACTTGATATATCCTACACCTGCAGTCAGCCGTCAACACACACCGGCCCCTCAGGCGCGAGAAGCGCCGGAGACCACCGTGGTAGATGTCAAGCCCGAAGATTACAGCATCGGACCCAAGGGCGAGATCGTTCCTGTAAACGAGCCTGCGGCCAAGTCTGTTAGCTGGGGGGAGAACGAGACGAAGCGTTTTGACGCCGACAGCCCTGAGAAGAGTGATTCTGACAATTACTTCCCCGCTGAGAAGGCTGTCGAGAAGTCCAGACCCAAGCTAAACAAGGCGAGCCGCTGGGGGATTCTTGCTGCGGCACTTGCTGGCAGCAGCGCCGAGCCACAGAACGAACCCGAAGTCGAAGTTGACCCGAAACAAGTGGAGATGCCAGGAGGCTACTCATACTCAGATGCAGGAAGCAGCGACGTTTCTATTCGTCGTGCCGAATTCTATGTTGATGATATGAACAGCTTCCCTCCCGTTGTTGGAACTAAGCCTGAAGGCCCTCAGCAAATGCCTGGTCGCTTTGCGGACGACTTCGAGTTTGCTGCTACCCTTGCTGCCGGATTGAAGGACACTGGATTCAACCCTGACATTGTCATTGACGATCCAACCTACAGCCGACGTGACTCTCCTCCAGGTGTCCAAGAAGCAAATGGTGACTCTCACAGTGGCTCAAACGGCAATGCCTGGTATAAGCGACCCTACGCTGAGGCTGTTCCGGATCCAGTCGATGCCCCCAAGCTTCTGCCTGAAAAAGGCTTTGTTCTTGGAGAGGTTGAAACTCCCCAAGAAAAGACCATTGTTCCTTTCGAAGGCGAGCGTGATTTTAAGCCAGATGCGCCAAAGCCTGAAGACGTGCCACTGCCTGACAACCAATCTGACAGCCCGAAGTTGAGCAAGCGAGAGCAGCGCAAGCGAGACAAGTCAGACGTTGTTGTTGTTCAGGACGATGGAAAGATTGAGAGTGTCAGAGCCGAGCCCCCTTTGTCACGAGACGTAGGTGAGCCAGTATGGGAAGGCATTGCCAGCAAGAGGAGTAAGAAGGACCGCAAGAGTCGTGACTTTGATGATGAGTCGACTTCCAGGGCACCCGCTCCTGCTACTCACGAGTCAAGATCCGACTACGACTGGACCACTCCTCGGGACGAAGGCCGTAGCCACAGCCGCAGCCGCAGCAGTGACATTAGCTACGCGGATATTGCCAAGGCGGCTGTGCCAGCGCTTGCCCTAGGCGCCATTGCGTCAAGTTCGAGAGATACACCCTCTCGGGATGCCCGCGAAGATACGCACGACTCTCCCAAGGAGTCACGCCAGCAGCCGAACGACGACTACTACTACGATGACGACAGGTCGCGTGTCTCCTCGTCTGCAAAGCCCTCTCATCACCGACATTTGTCTAGAGATGTTTCATCCCGAGACGTTCGATCAGACGATGAGCAGGACTCTTCTAAGCAGTCGAGAAAGCATAAGAAGGACCGCGAGTCAAGAGACGAAGGCAGATACCGTGAGTCTTCGACTCTGGACCCCAATGATCGCCGATCGTCCAGGAGAGAGTCGTCGCGAGATCGCTCGAGAGATCGCTCAAGGGACCGATCAAGAAGTCACAAATCCAGGGACCACTCGAGAGACCACAAGTCTAGGGATCGTTCAAGAGACCGTTCAAGAGATCACCGGTCAACGGATCACCGGTCAAGAGATCGATCAAGAGACAGAACAAGAGACAGGTCAAAAGACAGAACTAGAGAGAGGTCTGGGGATAGGTCTCATCACAGAAGATCTGATGACGAGGAAGAGAGATCTCAGCGATCGAAACGCCATCCCTATGGATACGACTCGCCCTCAATGGCCGCTTCTGAACTCTCTGTTGCCAGTTCTAGCAGCAAGAGAAGCAAGAAGTCCAAGCGAAGAAACGGCGACGATTACGACGATTCCAGAGATAGTCCCCGCAAACGTGATCGCGAGCGCGAATACCTCGATGACAGAGACGTAAGCTCTGTAGTGTCTGAATCGCGTGGACACCGAAGAACGTCGTCTCGATACGAGGATGACGATGTGAAGTCGAGTGTCTCATCACCTGGCTCATCCCGTCGTGAGAAGGAGTACAAGGAACGCAAAACACCAGAGAAACGACCAAGCAACAGCGTCCTCTCTGGCCTCTTCAAATCAAGCAAGGATAAGAAGAAGGATTCTTTTTTAGGTAATGCCGACACCCTTGGCGCGGGTGTCGGCTTAGCGAGTGCAGCAGCCATTTATGCGTCTGATGCTGCTCGCTCTAACGCCGCTGATGCCCCATCAGATCAAGAACGTTCTGCCTCTGGTGATGGGCTCCGCCATGCCCGAAGCTTCGAACTGGTTGATCCTGAGGTCCTTCCGCGTGTTATCAAACCTGCCATTGATCCCCAATATGGCGATCTTCTTCCTTTACCTCCCAGCGAACCTTCTAGCCCAACTTCTTCTCCCTCCGACGAACTCCCACCACTTCCTGACAGCCGACCTGATACTCCTCCTGAGGAGCGTGGTGCTCGGCGAGATGCCCGGCCTCTCCAGCGACGCCGAAGTGTTTTCGAGACGCCTATCAAGTCTCCCAGCCGTACCGCTGTTCCCATCGCCCTCCGTCTTGGCAACAGGTCCTCAAACCCTGCGTCTCCTGTAAGCTTCCGAGCTTCGCCGGCTAGCTCTCCCGTTATTCAACACTCCGACGCTACTGTCATGTCAAGACGACAGGCTCGACCTACTTCTTGGGACAACACCCGTGAAATTATGCCGTTGTATCTTCTTGAACATTCACGACATCCCGCGCCCACCACAGGATCCGTACTTCCTGCGCTGCCTCCTAGTGAGCCTAGTGAGACTTCGGCAAGAAACTCACCCGAATCCGAATTTCTTAAACACAACGATGATTACTTTAGCGAGAGTCTTGATTACACTGGACCCGATCTTAGTACTGGGCCTGATCTTAGTGTCGACACTGTTCTCTCCGAGCAGCATGGAAAGGAATCCGATGCGGAATCACAACAGACAACCCCTCGTGCTGAATTCATGCCTGTGCTCCCTGAGCCTACGCCCTCTGTTACTTCCAACGAGCCCTCGCCTAATCTTTCACGGCCCTCACTCCCGGAGCCTACGCCTTCAGCAGCTCCGGACCCGCCTACACCTTCTTTGGCGACTCCTATGGAGTCCAGGGAGCGAGACGCGGCTAATGGCAAGTCTTCTCCGCCCACCTTTGACGCCGCTGCCATTGCTGTTCCCGTCGGCTTGGGCGCTAGTGCTGGCCTGGCTGCTGCTGCTCTTGCCCAACCTAAGGGCCGTACCGACTCGCCTGCAGAGAGGACAGACGATCTTACTTCTGCCGATGAGCACTTCTCTGATGCCGTTGAAGGCCCTTCTGAGCAGACTTCACCCAGAGAAGAGATGTCTCGATCCCTTGAGACCGCCCTTGACCGAGATCCTACTCCCGAGCCTATAAACAGGTCTCCTTACGAACCGACTTCTGAAACCACAACCGGAGCTTTCGCCACTCCTGTTAATGAGTTTGTTTCTGAGGAACCTGTTGACGTCAAGCCTGATGCCGTGGTCGCTGCTGAAAAGGCAATCATCGAAGAAGCACAGGACAAGGTTGCAAGAGACATCACTGGCGCCGCTGAACCTGCCACTGAGCCCTTCACTTTCCCTGTCAATGATCGAACTGTTGAAGAGAGCACTGATGCCAAGTTTGACATCGAGTCTGCAGCTGAGCCAATCAAGAAGGTTGAGGAGTCAGCAATGAAGGATTTGCCCGAAGTTGTTGAAAGCGCAAATGAAGCTCGCGCCATCTTGATCGATGAACCTGCCACCCAAGGGCCTGCAAATGCCAGGTCTGATACTGAACTTGCAGCCGAAGAGTCAGTTATCAGGCAGGCAGAGGAGCAGGTAGCTAAGGACATTGCTGATGATGGTGAGACTGCTAAGGAGTCCATTTCCATACCTGTCAAGGAACCCGTCTTGGAGGAGCCCATTGTTGAGGCGCCTACAGCCGTAGAGCCTATTGTAGACGACTCTTCTCATGCCGAGCGAGGCATCGAGCATGTGACTGAGGAGTCAACTGAGACGGCCGAGGAAACCGCAAATGAGTCCCGTGATATCTCTATCAACGAGCCCGTTGCTGAAGAGCCTACCGACGTTCAGTCTGGCACCGAGCCTGCAATTGACGAATCAGCAGCCAAAGAGATTGAGGAACAGGCTGCCAAGGATGCTGCCGCAGCATTCCAAGCAGCTCAAGCCGCTACCGAAGCCGAGACTGCAGCACAAGCTGCTGTTGACGCTGAAGCAGAGGAGGCTGCCAAGGAAGAGGAGGAGATGGCTGCTCTCAAATCCAAGAAGGCGAAGAAGCTCACCAAGGCTGAGAAAGCTCGTTTAATGACCTTGATTGGCAACTCGGTTAAACGTGCTCAGGCAAAGGCTACCGAAGCTACTCCTGAGCCAGTCACCGAGACTACTGAGGAGCCTTCCGTGAAAGAGCCTGCACCGGAGGAAACTGTGGCAGAGGAACGTACTCAGCCACAGGAGACTACCTTGGAAGACAGTGTCGCGACACCGAAGGAGCCAGCGTCTGAGCCCCTTGAAAACCTTCGCGAGGCAGAGCCTACTGAGCAGACCGCTGAGCCTACTTCCGTCGAGACGGTAGCCGAAGAAGCTTCTCGAGATCTCCCAACAGAACCTGTTGTCGACGATGTCACTGCAACCGTTCCTGAATCTTCACAGCTGCCCACTGAAGAGTCAATTATCGAACCCTCGACCGATGCTGTTCCCGAGATTGTCGAGCCCTTCGATCAGCCAGAAACTGAACTGGCCGACAAGGACATTACCGAAGTTTCCGGGCCTACCGACACGCTAGATACCACTCCCCAGCCTGAATTGATTGTCGAAGATGTCACAGTCCCAGAGCCTAGCGTTGAGCCCACGGCTGAACCTAAGAAAGAGACGACCGAGGATCTTCCTCGTGAGATCGACGCCTCTACAGTACTTACTCCCGATGCTGTTGTAGAGCCTCAGACGACCCCATCTGTTGATGTCATCACTGACAGCGCTGCCGAAGCCGCCGAAGTGAAGCCGGAAGAGCCTGTCGCTCAGCGTGCAGAGAACGAGATCACCACGGAAGAGTGGGACAACATGAATGCCAAGGACAGGAAGAACATGAAGAAGAAGCTCAAGAAGAAGGGACTCGAACCCATTATTCAAGACTCGTTCGATATTCAAGCTCCTGCAGAGGAGTCCAGCAAGAGCGATCAGTCCGCCCCGGCTGAACAACCTGCTGCAAAGGACGAGGTTTCTGAAACACAACCGGCTACGACTGAAGTAGAAGTCCCTGATCAGTCCGTATCTGAACCTATCCCTGAATCTTCCACTGAGCCATCTTCTGTTACCGAGGTCGTGGATATCCAAGAGCCCATTGTCTCTCAGGAACAGGAACCTGTCAGCATGACGTCTGGACAGCCATCTGAGCCTGTACAGGACAACATGCCAGTTGACAAAGAATTGCCTGCCGAACAGGAAAGTCGGGATACAGTCCAGGAGCCGGAGTCTTCCAAGGATATAGAAGCATCCACAGAACCTGCGGCAGCCACACCCGAGAATGAGCCTGTACCGGGTCCTTCTACCGAGGTCACCACTGTCGTGGAGCCTGCGCCTGATGCTGCCGTTGAGGAGAAGGCTGTTGGAGAGTTGACCGAGTCTCCTTCCAAGAGTAAGAAGAAAAAGAAGAAGAACAAGCCTCAGCAACAACCCACGGAAGAACCAGTTGTCATCGAACCCACAGCTACTCCAGTAGAAGATACAACTATCGAGTCAGCTCCAGCTCCTGAAGCCGAAAAGGATGCTTTTGACGCTTGGGCTGATCCAGTTGTCCCTGTCGAGACTCCAGTTGATGCTCCTGCCGAGCCGTCTTCTACTATTGCTGAAGACTTCTCGAACCCTGCGACTGAATTGCCACTCGATGCCCCTACGGAGCCCTCTGTTGACGTCGATGCCTTTGATGCCTGGGCTCAGCCAGACGCGACTGCAAACGTCGATGCCCCTGAGCAAGAGCCTGACAAGCCTGTTGAGAACCCTGAACAGACCCCTGAAGCGTCCAACGACCCTGCGCAGGGCGAAGATGCCGTTTCTTCCAAGTCAAAGAAGAAGAAAAAGAAGAAGAAGGGTACCAAAACAGACGACGAGCCGGTGACTGAGACCCAAGACAATGCACCCCAGGATAAATCTCTTGAAGCATCCGACAAGCCGACAAATGATCCAGTTGAACCATCCGCCACAACAGGTGAAGCAAAAACCGAGCCTGTCGATGCTCCGACCGACCAGGCTACCCCATCGCAATCTAATCTGCCAACACCAAAGGATGAAGGCGATCAGCTCGCTGAGACAGTCAAGACGCCTCACATTGACACTCCGGTAGTCGCTACACCAGCACGTGATACTAGAGATCTCGACGATTTAGACGATGTTCCCTACTCCCCGTCTTCCGAGAATCTTTCTCCTTCAGAGAGGGCTGTTCGAAAGGATCGACAAGGTTACTTCCCTTCTGCCCTCCGCGCACTTCCAGGCGCTGCAGGTATATCCGCTTTCAAGAGGATGTGGGGCTTCCAAGATCAATATCGAGCCCAGAACCGCATGCGAGAAGCTCAGCCGGAAGCCGAGAAGCCCAGTGACGAGATCCAGCCTGATACTGTGAATGCCGAAAAGTCAGAGGTGGCCGACAAGAAACCCGAAGTCCCTGTCACTGAAACGGCAGAGAATGTCAAGGCCGACGACAAACCGCCACTGACTGCCGATGAGTCTCATGTATCTGAGCCACTCTTTTCACAGGGAGATGCTCCTATAGATGAATCGCAAGCGCCTGAGTTGGAATCTTCCCAAGTTGATGAGCCACAGACCACAGACAAAGATGTGAGCCACGACGTCCTCACCGCGGAGGAAGTGCCCACGGCTGTCGAACAGCCTGTCACGAAGACGGAGCAAGATCCCGCAGAGTCAGCCGAGATCGCACCCGAGGCAGCTAAAGAAGCTCCCGCTGAAGTAACGGAAAGCGTGGACGTCAATTTCACCGAGGAACCATCGACCAAGACAACTTCTGACGACACAACGCATCCTATTGACGTCAAGCCGGATGATACTACTGAGGATAAACCCGCTGAGATGACTCAAGACAACGCCATGAAGCCTGCTGAGACAGCCCAAGATGATTCCGCACAGCTCCCCGAAGTTGGACCTGAGCCTTCAGCCGAAGAGGGGTTCAACAAGACAATTGAGGTCGACGGCAAGAATGCCACCGAAGAGATTGCTGTAGACAACGCCGAGGCTGACGCAGCTGGTTCCAAGAAGAAGGCAAAGAAGAACAAGAAGAAAAAGAAGAGTCAAGTAAGCCAGGACGACACGCCTCAGGAGGACGTGAAGGATTCGACTCAGCAAGACCAAAGCACCCAGCAAGGACCCATTGAAGAGGCCACAGCTGCACCAAACGAGGTTGACGTTGTGACACCTATTCAAGAACCAGTGGCGGAAAGCTCTCGTGGCAACACTGAGGAACTTGGTGATCAAGAGCCAGAAGCCAAGTCGGACGACAAGACGCAAACTGCATCCGAAACCAACGTTGAGGAGGCCCTCGAAGCCAAGCCAGAGATCGACGAGAAGCCAGTTGAATCCGAGCTACTAAACCAGCCCTCAATTGACAAGCCAATCGAGCCCGAGACAAAGGAAGAGGCCAAGAACGAGGAGGAGCAGATTCGACAGTCTAACGAGAGACCACTCGAAAAGGGAACGCCCGACGAGACCCCCGATGCCAAACCTGCAGACAGCCCAGAGGATAAGCTCGAAAGCCGTGATATGGCGCCTGAACCTGAAGCTTCTGAAGAGCCACGGACCGATGACAAATTTGAGAAGCCTGAAGGCCAGGAGTTCCTCGCTGAGACCAACAATGACGCAGCTCAAGTTGAAGACAAGCCCACCGAGTCTGAGGCTCAGCCTTTGCCCGAAATTGATGTCACGCCACCTCAACCTGAAGAACGGGAATTGCAACAGACGGATGCTACACCACTCGAATCTATCACAGAGGAGACGATGCAGTCGGATGATAAACCGGCCGAGGATGAGATCAAAGAGTCTGAAGCCGACGCGAGATCTCCGGAAGCCGAGGCACCCAAGGAAGAAGATATGCCACTTCCACCTGAGGCTGCGGAGCAAATGCAGACCGATGATGAACCCGCACAAGCCGAAGGTATCGGTCACGTTCCAGTTGATTCCGAAGCCAAACAGCTTCCTTCTATCGAGGAGGAGGCTAGCAAAGCAGTACCTGAGGAATCAACTCAAGCCTCTCAAGACCCCTCTACCGTGCCCTTGATAGACGAAAACTTGTCTTCAACTACACCTGAACTTGATTCAACTGCCAAGGAAGCCGAGGATAGGGCTCTGCGTGAAGCAGATGATGCTCAGGCAGCAAAGGAGAAAGAAGAGATCGATTCGTTGCTTGAAAAGCAATCGCGAAGGGGTGGCCGACTCCTCAAGAAAGACCAGAAACGCCTTACCGCGCTTGAAGAGAGTGTGTCTCGAAGAGCAGAGGCACGGGCCGCTCGTGATGCTGAGGAACAGGCTGCCAAGGAACAACTTTCATCAACGACCCCTGCCGACACTACCGCCCAGGAGTCATTTGAAGCGGATGCTAAGCCAGTTCAGCCAGAGGAGACTCGCGACATAGACGTTTCTCAAGACAAGACCGGGACTGGCGAAGCACCAGTTTCCGAGATTCAGCCTGACATCAGCGAGACAAAGCCAGTCGAGACATCTGCCGAGACTGAAACACCAGGCGCCGCTATGTTGGATGAGAGTGTTGAGAAGTCGACGGATGTGCCCCAAGAAGAAAAGCCAACGGAGAGTCAGAATACTACCGATGCGACACCCACTGCACAACCTCAAGAGGAGACGACAATTGACAACGAGGCGACAGAGCCAGCAAGCAGCAAGAAGTCTAAGAAAAAGAAGAAGAGAAAGTCAGTATCCTTTTCTGAGAATGGAGAACCGCAAGATCCAGCAACAGAGAATACCGAAAAAGGCACACTGGCAACTGAGCCCGAACAGCCTGATCAAACTCCTGACAACACCGAAGACACTTCTTCAACGCCAGCAGAGCCTGCTCCAAAAGATGCTCCTGCCACTCAAGATGAGTTCGCAGCGCCGGCCCTTGAGGACACTCCAGCGGACGTGACGACTCCCGACGCCAAGGAGGCTGAGGCTTCTACGTCGAATAACCCTGAGGACCCTTCGGTCGAGAACACGACTGCTGAGGGCCAGGGCGAAGGACCTTCAGACTCTGTTTTGGACCAGGCTGAGTCAGAGCCTGCGTCTGAGAAGAAGAGCAAGAAAAAGAAAAAGAAGAAGAAGAACACTTCCATCGACGAATCAGAGAAGCAGCCCGAAGCGGAGTCATTGACCCAAGAAAACCCGGAGTCTTCAGCGAAGTCTTCTGACGACGTCAAAGACCCCACTGAACAAGAAGAACCCTCCATTGCTCCTATTCCGGTAGAGCAAACCGGCGTTCAGAGTGAAAAGGCGCCTCTTTCGGGAGACGATGCGACACTTCCTCAAGAATCGGCAACGGCAGATGCTGCTGCTGAGACTACCCCAGCAAATGATGAGCAGTCACAGTCAGCTGATGGCGAGAAACCTGTAGAAACCTCTCTGGCCCAGGAACCAGCATCAACCGTCGAGGCTGCCGACGTACCTATCGAGCAGCCCCCCAATGAAGAACCTCTGCCAACCATTGATGAGCCTGACTCCCCTGCGAAACTCTCCAAGAAGGATAAGAAGAAAAAGAAGGCAGATAAGAAGAAGGCAGATAAGAAGAAGGCTGCACTTGAGGAAGAATCCAAGGAGCCTGAGCCTGAACAAGCTGCTTCTTCTGAAAAGGGTGAGGTCAAAGTCGATCCCGAAACAAACGAGCGCCCGGCCGAAGATTCGAAAGACACGCGGGACGAAACCTTCAAACAGATCGATACCAGCGAGACTCCCAATGTAGAGACCATTTTGGAGGGCGAACCTGCCACTCCGGCCAACGATGCCAACGAGCAAGATACCGGTAAAACCGGAGAACTTCCTAGCGAAGAACCAGCTAGTCCTGAAGACGAGCGGGGTGGGTTTAGCCTCAGTCAATCCCAGACCGACCAAAAGAACAAGGCTAAAGACAACGATTTTCAAATCCTGCAGGACCTCAAAACCAATCATCCAATGCAGCCGGAACCGACAGCGGATCCGGAAAAGCAGGAGGCCGCCGTCGCCGCCGTGGATGAGGCTCAGAGCCAAGGATCTTCTGAGGGCACACAGCGTAAAGGGGACAAGACTGTAGCTGTACATTCTGATACTGCTGTTGAGCCTGAAGCAAAGTCGGAGTCGGGACTGGGATTGGGAGAGGAAAAACTGGAAGACGGAGAGGAGTATGCTGGCCTGTCGAAGAAGCAAATCAAGAAGTTGAAAAAAGCCCGAGCTCTGGCTGCCCAGGAATCTTCTGCTGAGCCAGAGATGCCAAAGGAAACCGCAACCTCAACGGAGGAAACATCGGAACCTGCGGCTGAGACTGGTGCAGAGTCTGAGTCAAACCCTCAGACCTGTGTTGAATCTGCAGCTGAAGCCTCGACGAGGGCAGACCAGGACCGTGGCCACGAGACCATGAATGAACCACTCCCTGACATTGAGGAGACTGTACCTATAATTGAGCCTGATTTTGAAGCTGAACCCAAGTCCGAAACTGAGATTCCATCTTTGGACAACACCGATACACAACCTGCGACAGAGGGAGCTGATACTAAGCCCCAAGCTGATGCCGACTTGCAAAAAGTACAACCCGAATTCGTTGAACAGACAGCTTCCGAACAGGATGTCATTGTTCCTGCGTCGGAAGTTGGTTCTGGAGACAACTTAATTGATGCCCCTGACCACAGTTCAAGTACTAACCTCGCAGCCGAGGATCAAGACGTGAAGGAGCCAGATTCATCCCAAACAGAGGAAATGTCTGCGCCGCCACGAGTGCTTGAAGACTCTAGCGAGACCTTCCAAGCTCCTGGCTCATCTGTTGAAACGGAATTAGAGCCTGTTGCTACAGTTGAGCCTGAGCCAGTTGAGGCGACTACTGGAGACACTCCATCCTCACCTTCAAACAAGGTCGATGCAATCGCAGATGAAATGGCTCCTGTTGAAGAGAAATTCTCAAGGCCGGCGGAGAGAGAGTTGCCCCCTGAGGAGGTACTGGACGAAGTGCCCACTGACACCCTGGACGCGAATGTCGCTGAGCAGGCAACGGAAGGTCCTAAAGAGCTTGAATCATACCCTGCCGACGTTCCTACTACTCAGCCGTCCGAATCTCAACACTTGGACTTAGGAGGCGTTTCCGAACCTGCCGTTCCGGTTGAGAATGCATCCACCCATGACACCAAGCCATCCTCTCCCAATCTTGCAGCAGAGCCTGCTGCTCAAGTACCTCAAGACCTGTTACCTTCATCTGACCTTCTCCTTTCTACACCAGTCACATCGCCAGAGCCTAGGAGCCCGCCACAACTTGTGAGTGGACCCAGCGAGCCTTCACCAGAGGAGCGGGATGCTACCGAGACTGCTGAAGAGACGCATCACCTGTCTGTGAAGCCGGATACTCCCACAAATGAAGACACTGTGGCTTCCGATGCCCAGCCTATCCTGGTCTCAACAGAAGAAGATATGGCAGAGGACGCTGTTCAGGAGCGATTAGATCGACCGCCACAGCCTGCTGAGCCAGACTCCATCCCGCAATCTCCCGTCGCAGGTAGCCCAGAACTTCCCACGGACTGGTCTGCGCCGCAAGAGCCGGTTCAGGAGACCGCTTCGTCGATACCTTCCAATGCTGATCATGCTCCTGCCTCTGACCACGAGGAAGAACCGGCAGCATCTGGCTCTCTCAGTACGACGACGGAAGCCAAGCAAGACACTTCAAACGATGTGAATGTCGACAAAGTAGAGGGAGAGCCTGTCGAGCTGCCAAAGGACAAGCCTGCCACACCTGTGACCGAGATTCAGCAACCATCAGCTCCCCATGGACACTTTCTTGAGGACTCTACGTCTCAGAATGACCCACAAGCGACGGACGGCAGGGACATCGAAATGGTTCAACAGCCCGAAGTTGCTGAGGAAAGGAGCGGTTTTGAGGGCGCTACGAGTGAGGCAGAAGTTCAAGAGACACAAGAGACAACACGGGATGCGTTTGTTCCCGAAGGCGAGTCTTCAGAAGCGGCTACTGTCCCAGATACCGGTGCACTCCCAGGATCCGTGCCAAACTTAGCAACAGAGCTTACAGACACTCCTGATGCTAGTGAGCCTGAGAAGCGTATTCACGAACGCGGCGAGAATGAGTTTACAACCGAAGACTGGCAATCTCTTGCTACTAAAGAGAAGAAGAACATCAAAAAGAAGTTGAAAAGGAAGGGTCTTGATCTAGTCATTAAAGACTCTTTCGAACCAACCGTTTCTGGCAGCGAGGCGTTCCCTGAAGCCGACACTGAGTTGCAGCCTGCTCCAGCCCAGCTGGAAGAAATGGCTACTGGGCTTACTGAAACAGACGCGCAGACTGAGAAACTTCCGGAGGTATCCGCATCTGATCAGCTCATTTCCAGTCCAGATGAGGATAAATCTGTTCCTGATACAAAAGAGGAGATTAGGGGTGACGAGCAAAAGCAGCAAGCAGAACCCACAAGACAGATCACAGTCGGCCAAGAACATATTTCTACTGACGTACCTTCTTCGCAAGAGACATTCCCTGTCGCTGAAATCAAGCCGGACCAACAAGAAACCCTACAGGATGATGCCCCCTTTACGGAAGACAAGAACGAGGGGGCTGTTGAATCTGATGGTCAACCCAAGGACGAAGCGGAAGGCGCAGTTGAGGCCCCAGGCGATATCGAGGTGCCTTTGTCTGTCGAAGAAATCCAACCTGTATCTGAACCGCAAGAAAGCGTCTCTGTCCCATCGCCAGCTGAGAACGTCACAAGTCAAGAATCTGGAAAGGAGACTACGCCTGCTGAGTTGATTACGGAAACCGAACCCGAGCCGTCGGTATCACACGCACTCGATCCCCAGATAACAGCACCCAAAGTCATGACGGATGTTTCCCATGCTCAGGATTCAGAGCAACTACCGCCGTCAGCACCAGCCACAGAACCCAGGGATGTAAAAACGGACTTGGAAACAGTCGTCGATCCAGGGCTTGGGGAAACTTCAGGATCACACGAACAGACACCTGATGTTCAGGAGACTTTTGTGGTCGAGCAACCCCCAACACCAGCAACAGAAGCCTCCCCCAAGAAGAGCAAAAAGAAAAAGAAGGGTCGCAAGTCTGACATCGGCGAAACCGATACTCCTTCCAGCGAGACAAACAACGCTATTGAGCGTGATGTTCAGCAAGAAACAAGCCGGTCTGTTGCGGATCCCCAGCATGATGAAATGGATGACCAAATCCAGAACATTGTAGACAACTCCATGACCAGTCCACCTGTAGAGGAAATTCCACCATCGACAGAACAGCGACCGGTTGAGCCAGAGCGTTCGGGTCCTGACATCTTGCCTGAGCCCTCCCAGACGCGGGAGGCAAAAACTGATCTACCCAGAGCGGCAAGCGCGGACTTATTGACGGGAACATTCGAGACAAATGAAGGGCAAGGACCTTCTCCTTTTACTGAAGAGCTTGACGCCCAAGAACCCATCGACACCTCTCTAGCTTCTCGTGAATTGGAGCCCAAAGAACCCACTCGGTTTCAATCGGAGAGAGTCGCCGTTGAAGAAGCAGAGTCGACGCCGTATACTACTAGAGTAGGCGGCGAGGATATTCAAGTTCCGGAACTTGACGTACATGCTGGAGAAAAGCTACTCGAGGTCGAGCAAACTGCGAACACCATGCCTGCTGAAGACAAGAAAAATAAGAAGAAGAAGCATAAGGGCAAGACGAATCTCGACACTGCTGAGACAGAATCCACCGAACCCAGCAATGGTCACGCAAGCCTGGAGCATGTCCGGACATCCGGAGAGCCACGAGATGAGCCAAAGCCCACGGATGTTGGTAAAATTGATCTTTCCGCACAGCCTGTCGAGTCTGTGAAAATCGACGAGGCAAGTTCATCCAGAGACGCATCGTCAGAAAAGCCCGCTTTTGGATTGCCGAGTTCCATGCCACAGAAAGAGACGATGCCGAAAACCACTTTTGACGACATTGTGAAGCAGCAGCCTGATGGTGACGCCAAATCTGTTGAGCCACCTGCTGAGTCAAGAAAGAACAACAGCACAACACATCAAGAGGGTATTGCTAGCTCAATCTTCTCCATGGCTAGCTCGTTCTTTTCCCAGAAGGATAAGAAGAATCGAAAAGGCGAGCCTGCTGGAACACCCGGAACAGGACCGGCATCACCTGCTGAATCAGTTCATGAAGCAGAACAGAAACAACTGCAAGCTCGCAAAACCAAAGCCCGCTCAACCCCCAAAAATGTGGTAGTTGAGCCTGCTCAGAAAATTGAGGAAGAGACCACTGTCCAACCGTCTGAACTTCAGAGACAATCTGACCAACTGGAAGAGCCTGTTGTGCCAGTGGATCAAGGCAGTACCGAAGATGCCTCCATGGACTCTGTAAAAAGTGCTGCCCCTGATGCCAACAAAGTCCCCACTCCTGTTGCCATCGGAAGTGATTCGCAGCCAGAGCAGGCAGTAGATGCAACTGCGATGCCTGAGCCCGAGACTCGCCAACCAGTAGAGCAGCCACGCGAATCTGTACCTGACCCCTCGGAAAAGCTATCAAAGAAGGACAAGAAAAAGAAGAAAAAGAAGCAGAGGGAGGCCGACGATGAGACTGAGACGACAAAGGAAGCCCTAGATAGCGCACCTTCTGGCCCAATGACTACTAAACAACCCATCGAAACCGGTCCCGACACAGAGCAGTCTGCTGAAGCCCCCGAGCCACCCTCAACGCTTCTTGGGCCTTCTAACCTGCCCCTGAACTCAGAACCCCCCATCGAATTAACGTCCGATGTGTTCCAGGGTGTAGATTCTCCGCTTCCAACTGAACAGACTGGAGAGGTTGGGAGGGAGTCCAAGATCAGCACAGATAACACTGGTGAGGCGAAGGACAGGCAGGCAATCGATCCTGTAACTGATGGTGGTGCAAAGCCTGCCGATTTTGCACGTCAGGCGTCACCTGCACCTGAGCTGATCGTCGAACCATCGTCAGCGGAACCCGTGGCAAGCGCAACTGGTATTGGCGAAAGCACTACTATCGATGCTGATATCACCACTCCAGTTAATGATGGTTCTTTGGTAGTTGAACCTCGTCAAGGGCCTTCTGTTGACGAGCTTGTCACAAAGCCTAAGACGCCAGATGATCCTCCTAGTCAAGCTCCCATCTCCGCCCCATCTTCTTCCCAGCCAACCACTTCTACACCAACAAAGGTAGAAGCCGCCGGTAGTACGTCAGACTCAAAACTGTTAAAGAAGGAAAAGAAAAGGGCGAAGAAGCTAGCGTTAGAAAAGGAACTCTCTAGCGAGCCTGAAGCTTCTGGCACAAGAGATGACCAGACGCCCCGAGCTAGTGAGGCAATCGGACCGGACGAGCAAGGCGGCCAATCTTTAACGCAAAAGAGCACTCAGTCAGCCATGGAGACCACTGCCCCCAAATCAACCAACAAAGCTACTGAAGGTGACACTGAAACTGCTGCGGCGAAAAGTCCAAAGGGCAAGAAGACTGAACTCGGAACTGCAACTCCTGTCACTACTGCAGTTGACGACAAGCTTGAGGTACTGCCGATAACGGAACCCATGCAGCCTACAGCCGCTTCTGGCCCAGACGATGAAAAGGCTGAATCTGGTACAGCAACAACCACCCAGCCAACTGAGAAAGCTATCTTGCCAAAAGCGACACCCGACGCCCTCCCATCCGGACCAGACGCTTCAACAGGAACTTCAGTAACGGTCATCCCTGCCACAATCCCCCAAGAATCTGCTGTGATCCTACCGGAAGAGAAGTCGCGTGAGTTGCCTCTGTCCTCACAGGATAAACAGATGGACGCAGCAGACCAATCAACGAAACCGATCTTGAGTCCTGTGCAGAGCATTCATAAAGACACAGTTTCGACCACTGAAGCGGGATCCGATGGTCCACCTGCTACGAGCACAAAAGAGAAGAAGAAGCGCCGAAAGGGCTCAGAACAAATTGCATCACCCCCCAGGCCTGCGTTTGACACCTCTCCAGAGACTTTGGCCGACACAGATAAATTACCAGCCCAGGTTCCAAAAGACGTTGGCGATACAAAAGACAGCGTGAGAGGGAAGCCACCGAACAAGCCTGAAACGTCATCAATCTTTGCCAGGGTTACGGCGGCGGCAGCTGCTGCTTGGGGTACTAAAAAGGTCAACGAAAAGACAGCGAATGAACAAACCAAGGGAGAACGAAAGGAAGGTGATAAAACGCCGACTGAGAAAAGCAGGGCTCAGCATGAACGTAGTCAGCAAGCTTCAACTAACACAGCAACGCAAAATGAATCCGACTCCAATGATATCAAATCACCAATCATGGATGCTCTCAAGGACAGTCGCCAAGGGACAACAGTGCCCCGAGAGGTCCAAGAAGACAAGACAAGCAGGAGGACAGAGGAATACAGTAGAGACCGCAAGGACAAAGACAAGGAACAAGACACTACTAGAGACGTGAAAGAAGAGGTCACGACGCCCCAAAAGAGGTTGAAATCATCAAGGGGAACTAGGAGCGTTGGGCCATCAGGAGACGAGCCTCGTGACAACACGGACGAGAGCAAACCGTCAGACCGCCAAGGCGAAAAGCCCAGGCCGCACGTCTCGACCGCAAACGGGTCTGCGAAGCCTGAGAAACAAGACAAGAAGACATTACGAAGACCACAGCCGGACAGCTCAGACGACGTCGAAAGTCCCATTCTCGGTCGTCCAGATTCAGAGTTATCAGGAGGGTGCCCTCGGCCTCTATTACGCCGTGACTCAGGAGTAGAGGAGCCAAGAGGCGGCTTGCTACGAGAAGACTACACAACATTCACCCCAATTCTGGGTATGGAGTCCAACCTCAGTGATACTCAAAGGTCGCCAAGCAGACTCTTGGAGCCAGTCCAAGAGGTTCCCGAAGCCGAAGCCGAACCAAGCAGGGGCGCACTTCCAGCACCCAAGGTTAGACGCAACAGCGGTCCTGTCAGTGATACATCGAGCTTTCAGAGACGGAGCAGGCGCCTGAGTGAAGAAGCCAGGCGTGATAGTTTCAGTGGAGAAAGGTCACCTTTGAGACGAAGCAAACCTCCTCGCAGTCCAGAGCCATTTCGCGACAGCGGAGTAGACACCGAGGGCTGGGAATATCCACAGTCAACTCTGGACCGTACGGTGATGCAAACTCCAGAACCAAAGACCGAAAGAAGGCTGCGTCGCTCTCCTCGAGGCACACCGGTGCTACGAGAACCTACAGTACCAGGACCAACTCCAGAGCCTGAGAAGAGAAAGCAATATGGAGTCCTTACACCAGTTGGAGCCGCTGCAGGCGCTACCGTTGCAGCGGGTGCGGGTGCGGGCCTAGCGTCAACGCTATCTAGATCTGGCCCAGGCCCTGAACCTTCAACTTCAAGATCAACTCCAACTCGATCTCCAACTCCAACTTCAAGACCCAACTCTAATCCTGCAGCTTCATATGCCGGCCAGAGAAGCTTTTCCGACAATGCATCTCCTGTTCGCCGATCAACTCCCCGTCTCGAGAGCGCAAGTCGTCGGGCTGTCTCTAACACGAGCCTTTCCCGTCGTCGAACGCCAGAGCCGCTTAATTTTAGGCCTGAATCTCCAGGCATCAACAGGTCGTCAGGCACCCCCACTCCACCGCTCCGCCGTGCCGATAAGCGAATGAGCGGTGATCTGCGGGCTATACGTCAACAAAACAACACCGCTACAGCTCCCGCTACCGCTACTGTAACTGCGCCTGTCAGTTCCACGCCTGTCGCAAATGAGGGTCGTGCCCGTGCCGCCAAGGACATGGCCGACGTCTACGTAAGTTAACAACTACAACTCCACCATAACATGTATAGTCTCGCCAGTGCTTACACATTCCAGGATGGCTTCGGCGAGGGTCGCATCGGTTCGCCCCGATCGCCCACAAGGCCTCACAGCATGCGCCGCCGACAGAGCATGCAGGTTCTTGAACTCGAGAACAGGGTTGAACAATTGATGGCCGAGAACCGAATGCTCTCAGAAGCTCGTGCCTCTGCCGAGACAAGTTTGAGTCAACGCGCTGCCAGCAGTCTCGCCGATCGCGACGCCGAGATCGATAACCTCAAACAATCTTTGCAGTTCCTCCAACATGAAGTTACTCGACTTACCGAAGTCAATGATGGCCTAACCAGCGCCAATGCCGAGCTCGCTAATAAGGACACTGGTCGTGTAGCGGACCTCGAGAACCGCAACGCGGTTGTCGCGCGTGAGTTAGAAGAGGCACGACGCGCCAAAGGAACTTCTGAGCAATCTCTTGAAGAGAAAGATGCGGAAATTGCCGATCTTAGAGCCCAACTCGACTCCGCCAAAGAAACGATTCGCGACTTGCAACGCCAGATCCTCGAGGCCAAGGCCCATGATGATCACTTCCTCAACATTCGTGATGAGGACCACTTCGACCACCGCTGCCAACAGCTTTGCTCTCACGTTCAGCAGTGGGTGCTACGATTTTCTAAATTCTCAGACATGCGCGCTTGTCGCTTGACAAACGAGATCAATGATGAGAAAACAATTGACCGACTCGACAATGCCGTCCTCGATGGCTCCGATGTCGACGTTTACCTTCGGGACCGTGTAAAGCGACGTGATATATTCATGTCCATGACTATGAATATGATCTGGGAGTTTGTCTTTACTCGCTATTTGTTCGGTATGGACAGAGAGCAAAGACAGAAGCTCAAGTCGCTAGAGAAATTGCTGACTGAGGTCGGTCCTCCCGAAGCGGTGCGCCAATGGCGTGCCGTTACCTTAACTTTGCTGTCGAAGCGCGAGAGCTTCAAACGCCAGCGAGATCTGGATACCGAGGCCGTTGTTCAGGCCATCTTCCAGACACTATGCAAGATTCTCCCGCCACCAACAAACCTGGAGGATCAAATTCAATCTCAGCTACGACGTGTCATGAGAGAGGCCGTTGGTCTCTCGATCGAGATGCGTACGCAAAAAGCTGAATATATGATGCTGCCGCCTCTGCGGCCTGAGTATGATGCAGACGGTGAGCTCACCGCAACAGTTCAATTCAACGCATCGATGATGAACGAGCGAAGCGGTAGCATCACAACCTCGAACGAAGATCTTGAGGCTCAGGCCGCCATTGTCAGAGTTGTCCTGTTCCCACTTGTCGTCAAGAAAGGAGACGACAATGGTAAGGGCGACGAAGAAATTGTGGTATGCCCAGCCCAGGTTCTTGTTCCCCGCTCCAGGCTGTTCCCTGGAGCAAGTGACGGCGGAAGCACCTCAATCGGCGCACGCAGTCATATTAGCCTTGTGACTGAAACGATGGGCCAGACCGAGGTAGACTATTAGACGGGGTTTAGGATATGGGAAGATACCAATAGGAAAAAGGATACAGGGTGTTTTTGGGGCATGGTATTTTATGGACAAACGCATTTTCAGCGAGGGTTTTCTTTATGTTTTGTTTCTTTTTTTTTCTTTTTTCATGCACTGGGACGATGGGAGAATGCTCTAATGATATCAGCTCTTGTTTTGTCTTGTTTCATTTCTTGGATTTATCACATCACGCTGCTTTATCTGCCTGTTATGACCGGGGTTTCCTTTGTTCGTTACAGCTGAGTTATGTATTCCTTATTCCTCATGTACGACTCTCTAATGACATGACATGATGTGTCGGTGCTGGATGACTACTGTATTTCTTATGTTCAACATGTAACTTAGATCCGTTGTAATGACACTTGGGACGACGCTTTCACATGAATATTCTGCGTATACCATACTATGTCTGTGACTTACTGACGACCTCACTCAATTTACCTGCGGCTTGTCGAACCATGAGTTCTGTATGTTCAATGAGCATCATTGGCTCTGTCTTAGTTGTTTTATACTATCATAACTCGTCCTGAATCTCTGATATCAGCACGCCAAGACTCTTCCACTCATGGTAAGTCTTTTTTCAGCTTTTCTCATAACTCCGCGGTCGCATGCCTTCCTTCTCTTGTTCCAGTATGGGTACCGAATGCAATTAAATAGGCCATCTAGAAAGTGGCACTTGCCATAGCTGGGGCTTGTACTTCTCGACGAGCAGCCTTGAGAAGCACCTCAAGCTCTTCGTTATCCTCCTCAGCTTTGCGATGTTGCACGCTAGAAGCGGGCATCGGTAGTGTTTGTCTCATTTGATTCATATTGGTCCATCTCCAACCATCAATTGAGACTGCAGCTTTCTGTGCCTGTTCCCTTCCACAGAATTGCTCTATTTTCTTTACCAAGTATTCAAGACGCGTCTTGCGACCCATCTTGCCCATCTCTAGATCTTGTAGTATAATTTCTGTAAGTATCTGCACCAAAGATTGAGGCATTGGTTGTCGGGAAGCTTTGCCAAGATTCATGACCTTTTCGATATATCTTAGCCGCGATCGGTTTGTCATATTAGGTCGCTTCATGTACAATTGTCCCAAGTCCGCGAGAAACTCCATCGTGTAGACTGTGCCTTTTTTGATGGGATTGTTCAACTTGTTGAACGACCTTTCGGGGTGGAATTCGGCAACCCGCCAGATAAGGTCAGCAGGTAGATCAGTATCCATCACGATGGCTTCCGCGTGCCGCACCCATATATACCAGGGTAATTTATCGGCGGTTGATTGCTCCTCGTTGTAGTATTCCCACATAATAAGCGCGCAGTGAGGGTCTTCCTCCGTTTTGACCATATCCGAGACAATCTCATTGTGATTTGGCAATAAACGAACAGCCTTCATCAAGGTATGAAGCTGACCGCAGGCGTCACTGGTAAACGAAAGTGCCCTCAGATTGGCTTTGCGCTTTTTGGCGTGTCGATGGAAAGCAGAGTGAAGCATCGCCGCCCAAGAATGCAGTTGTGTGGGCTTTTCGGACCACTCTTGCAAAATTTCCGGACGTAACTTCCATTGGCTTTGGTTCATGAGGCGCAAAGCTGCAAATTGTCGAACCTCTGTTTCGGTCCACTCGCTCGTATCGTGAGTCACTTGGATCAATTTCGTGAATTCCCTTATCTTAAGCCCGGGGGCAGCGGCCAGTTTAAGCAATAAGTGGAATGCAATCGAACGTCGTTCTGTGGCATCCGTGCTGTTCTCGAGGCAAGATTGTGATAACTGTTCGTAGGTGTCCATATTTGATGGAGCCTTGACACCAAACATACGAGACAAATAAATATTTCGGCGTAGAATGTGAGTCGATATAGGCTGCGATGGATCCCGCTGGTCCTGACCAGACTCCAGGAGGATATGTGCCCGCATCAAAGCAATGTAATCATTGGAATCCAAGTAGATTCTCTCAAATTGCCGGGTCAGTCGCAATAGCTCGTCCAGAAGTTCGAATGTGACAGATTGAGGTGTCATTTGCAATGCTGTTTTGAGGCACTGATGCCATAAGCGCCCACCAAAGACATCACTGGTGGGACGGACCCGGTTGTCATGAATGCAATGGATGATTGAAATCCATTGTCTCGCTAGCACATAGTCGAGGACTTTCGTTGGAGCCCGACGCTTGATGGTTTCGTCGAACGGGTTGAGTATTAGGATAAGATCGCCGGAGGATATCGTGTTCTCGTCGATCATGTCCAGAACCTTCATGAGGTGAGGTTCACATGCTTTGAACAATGCCTTGCCGTCCTCGATGTCTTGAAAGGAAGCAAGATCTTCACTGAGCCCAACGAGTACCTGTTCTAAAGGCGAGAGAGTTGCTGTTTGTGGTGGTATTATAGTGGTGTCGGGTGAGCTCTCCGGGCAATCTATGTCTTCGAGGGATCTTAGAAAACGTTCGAGCAACCCGACTTTTTTATGTCGCCGATCTTGTGGTCGAGTTGGGGCCTCCCATGTCCATTTGCCGAGGTCGATAGGGAATTCAATTGACCAGGGAAAGGGTGAGGCGTGAGAATCGGGAACGATGGCCGTCATATGTCGCTTGCCTAGGCGGCGTCGGCTCTCAAGAGGCCCTGGAACTGAACTCAAGCTCCTTCGGGGGACCGGATAGACATGGTGGAATCGCTCAATGGCTCGAGCCAGCATGGCATTAGTGACCCAGATGCCCTCTGACGGGCTCGGGGTTGGGCGTATGCCCGGACGATAGTGCGGGATAACGCATCGTCGAGGCATTGGGGTAGCCCTAAAGGATTGTCGAGATATTGGCATTCACCTCCGTATTAGCATCGTGAGGATGTCGTATCGAATTGAGGCTCTGCGCGAGTGGATGTCGAGTCTGATCAGAGTTGATGTCATGAACGTCTCTTTCGTAACTTGAAACGAATTGTCGAGGAGCTTCAACTTTGAGAATTTAGCTCGTGCGCGTATTGACCAACCAGAGGCGAGATGTTACCCCAGGTTCTTTCCAATAGAAAGTCGGTGCTGGTGCCTCAGGCTTACCTGATCCGAACTCCACTGTTGGTGGCAGCTGCGTCCCAGGCCCCAGGGTGTCAGAAGAATTGTCCTCTAAGGCTTAAGGTACAGAAATAAAGTAGCCTAAACGCCAGCCTAGGTCTGCATACAATGACCAATGTATTTCGTCTCTTATACTCTCGGCGGCCAATTCTTCTGACACCCGTCTGCCAGGGCCCAGTCGCTATTATTGTGCTATTTAGCGCCTCTTTGCTCCGCCTGCGCCATAACTTAAGCCTATCGATAGGTGCTCAAGCTGCCCTTGTCATCCCATCGGCCCCAACTTAAGACGAGCCCATGTGTCCAAAAGCCCGCTCCAGATCCCCTTTTACTTTGCGCTGATACGCCGTGTCCTACGTCTTCCTGCATCTTATTACAGAACGTTGTATGCTAAGGGCTGCATGAACAGCACCCATTCGCATCGAAATTACGCCTGGCAAGGTCAAGCTTAACGGTTCCGGGGTATATTCACCAACAATCCGACGTAGCGGCGCATCGCATGCTTTGACAGGCAGTCAATAACCCAGGATCCCTGTCGGCTTTCTCGGGGCTGTCCACTGAACCGCGTGTACGGACCGTACGGTGAGCGTGGAGCTTCCCTAATTGGGAACATCGACGACCCAGCTGGTCCCTGTTCGCCTTCTCTATTACTTCTAGTCGCTTTCTCCTGAATAAGCCACTGTCAACTTGACATAACATCATAACAACAACAAACAAAAGCAACCCGTCGCATACGATACGATTTACACCTCCATCGACAACTTTTGCTCGATGGCTCCGTGTGACATCTTATCGACCCCGACTACGTCACAAAGAAGATAGATGGAGCCAGTAGTATATGAAGAGTCCCCGTTCGCCGACTACCTCAGAGGTGAGCTCCCTCCCTCCCGGTTCCGCGGGATATTTCTTTTTTCTTCGCCGCGAACTAACATTCCTTCAAGATGAGGGAGATGAACCCCAGGCAGACTGGGCGCCTGGTATAATAACACCCGAACCTGAATCGTCGGCCGGTCGTTCCAGTCCATCGCCTCCATCGAGCCCTTCTCCGTTTGCGCCGACCGGTCGGCCTCTGGTCAAGCCCAAGTTTCGAAACAAAGCTCCAAATGCGCTTCAGCTAAATGTTCCTCAACAATCTGGTCTACGGTCTGCCAGTGGGAAATACTCGGTAGGTCGAGTCGCGCCATCTTGGCCAATCAACATTGCTAAACAACCCCCTCGTGATAGGCCGCGGTAGCAGCGAGTATCGATCGAGCCGACAACGCCAAATTCCTCGAGCAATTCCGATATACGATTATCGCATCTCAGCTTCTTAGTGGTCATTCTGGATTAGGACAATCGCAATTCGGCAGCAGCGGACCAAGCCCGCTGTCTAGCAATGACGACTCACTCTTATCTACCGAAGGCATTATCGCATCAGTTCTCGCAGCACTGGCTGTTGCAGTAGTTTTGAGCTGGGTTCTCGGGAGCGGAGTTACCAAGAAAAGACTCGTCTTTTTGCTGCTGTTGTGCGCAGCTGGGGCGCTTTTGGGGCAGATCTACATGAAGCGACAATGGTTACGCTACCGCAGATCGCAATCGCTTTCCGAAATCACTTCTTTCGTCGAGCATTCTCACAACTTTGATAGCGCAACTGGAGCAGCTCTATCTCTGATACAAGAGGTCGAGCTGGTCTCGCGAGGCTACCGACTGTTGGTCTTTGCTGCCCCCGAGTGTGAATAAAATGGCTAACCAATTTATAGAAGCGCTCCTCTGCCACCAATCAGCCGTATAGAAGATCGCACACAGACACGGAGGTGTCTGAGACTACGCAAAGCTTTGAGGCACTCTTTTGCCGAAGTTCTCGAGTCTTACAACCAAGTCTGCACAGTCGTCAACGGATTCGCAGAACAGACAGACCTAGAAAAATACTATGATATATACGACATATCCGACTTCGACATGTCCGACGCCCGTCGTGGTCTCAGTGATGAAGATCTGGAAGATCCCGAATCACTAAGAACCCTGAAGATCCTCGCCGCTCGTTTCTCGACTATTCGGAAGCTATTTCTCTGCGCTCTCCTAGCTTTGGATGCCGACACCGACACGAACGACTTGCTTCGCTGGACTACAGCTGTGGAATCGCTCTTGAGCTTGAACAACTCAACTCAAACAGCACATTCTAGGTTGCAGAGCATCCTTAGCGAAGAAGATAGTGAGTATCTGACATATGTACCTGGTTATTAACCATTGACTTACACATCTAGACTTTCCATCTCCTCCAACACCGTTGAATGCTCTTACACCAGGGCGAGAACGTTGGAGAGCCCAACTGCGGAAGCTAGGCTCCCTTTCTACAGGCATCAGAGGATTACAAGCCAAACTACAATTGCTTCGGGAAGAATCCGACCGAAGCTTGAACGACTCGAGCGACATCTCAGAACTTGGACCGAATCTCATGTCGCAGTATGAGTCCATTGGCATGGATCTAAAGGAACTGATGTCGGCATGGGAGGAGGGCAAGGCAGCTTTAGCACTCGGTATCGATAGAAACGAGAAGAGGCTCTCGTCTATGAGCACCCTGCTGTCACCTGTGAGCTCCCTCAGCGGCCTCACGACTGTGGATGAGAATGGTGGGACCGCTGCTGCGCTCAAGGCTTTGACGGGAGAGTCTCCTCCCAGCTCCGAATACGCCGGTTCTACTGAACACGAGTCGCCGGAAGTGTTCGAAGCTGTTGCTTTACCTCGACCACGAAGCATGCTTACCCGAGAAGAAAGAATAGTCAAAGTCCGGGAGGAACGAGAGCAAAAGGCTATTGCTCGACAACATGTCGATGCTACCAAGGGCATGCTCCGTGAACTGGAAACAGTTATTAACCTACGACCACGAACCCGTGCAAGTGCGCCAGCCGGGCGGATTGCGTCTATGTAGGGATGTTTGATTTATGAAACTAACAAGCCAACGATTACCATCACTCTACATTTCCTACCTCGCCTGTTACCTTTCGCGTATATTCAAATACGCGCACTACCATCTGGACCAATATCGACTTCACTAAAGCTATCTTCTTACACTCGCTATCAACTTACGATACATCACTGGACCTTCTCAGATGGATAGACACGCCAAGCATCCGGAGGCGTCACGACGACACGCACTTTTCTTTATATACATATTAGGCACTTTTCTACACAATAGACAGGCCACTGGAGGCCTAGGCGTTTATGGATTTGGTTGGAGTATTTGTTTTTAGACACGATTTCGTCCCAAGTCAGATTGTGGGCGCCATAGTCTGGGTATGCATCAAAGCCGTCAGGAAAAGCAAATCGGCATAGCAACCTCTTCATTTCGGAGACTTATTTCCTATCTTGTCTGGGAAAATAATGAAACAAAAGGGGGGCCTTAATCTTTGCCCATGTATGATAGACACAACTACAACAATCAAGCATTGATGCTATTATAAGCTGGCTTTCATGGATGAAGATCCAATCTCAAGACAAATTATGTGGAAGTTGGATGATTTATTTTGATAGTCAGAGATCTACCAAGTGATACGTATAACAGCATCATCTCGTTCGCCCTGCCTATCAAATTGTTTGACCAATCCTAGCCTTGCTTTCATAGCTGTTGGTGGGGCTATCAAATGGGAGCTTCGGAGAGGTAACGCGTCGCGTATCTTGGAGAGAGTGGCGCGTTAAGTGACTACCCACTTCGGTATGGAGCTGCTAGTAAAGTGCGGTAGCCTAGCAATTTCGCGACCGACTAAGCTAGAGAGAAGGTAAAGCCATCCATTACCACCTGCATCCTCTTCACCCAGACAACACTTTCTCTCCCATTCATACCCAAAACAACATCTTCCAAAGCAATCATCTCTTCTTCTCTTAATTAGACACTTGTCTACATACTCGCTACATATTCTTTATACCTCTCCCCGTTAACTCTTTTCTCACACACAGTAAGTCTCCTAGCAACCGTCACCCCGCCCTTTTCCTTTCGCGTGGCAGCTCCATGCACCACCAGAAAAACTTCACCACCAGACGGAAAGCTAATAACCAGAACAGAAATGTTGGAAGCCAGACTCGAACAGGCCTCTGTCCTCAAGAAGGTCGTCGATGCGATCAAGGACTTGGTGCAGGACTGCAACTTCGACTGCAATGACACAGGCATCCAACTGCAGGCTATGGACAACTCTCACGTTGCTCTGGTCTCCATGATGCTCAACGCCGAGGCCTTCTCCCCTTTCCGCTGCGACCGTAACATCTCTCTCGGTGTCAACCTCACATCTCTTACCAAAGTGCTACGCGCTGCCCAGAACGAAGACCAGCTCACACTCAAGGCCGAGGATGGCCCTGATGTACTGAACCTCCAGTTCGAGAACACCGAGAACGACCGTATCAGCGAGTACGACCTCAAGCTCATGGACATTGACCAGGAGCACTTGGGTATCCCCGATACTGAGTACGCCGCTACCATCACAATGCCCTCCCTGGAGTTCCGACGTATTTGCACAGATCTCATGGCCATGTCCGAGTCCGGTTAGTTTCTCATCACACCCTCTACGTTTCTCAGCTGGATCTAACAAGACCCCAACAGTTATGATCGAGGCTTCCAAGGACGGTGTCAAGTTTGCTTGCAACGGTGATATTGGTAACGGCTCTGTGACTCTCCGCAGCAACACCAACCTCGAGAAGCCCAAGGAGGAGATCAAGATTGAACTGAGCGAGCCTGTCGCCCTCACATTCTCTCTCAAGTACCTTGTCAACTTCTGCAAGGCTGCTACCCTGTCCGACCAAGTCAACATCTGCCTCTCCAATGAGGTCCCTCTCCTGGTGGAGTACCAGATCTCCGGCCAAAGCCACCTCCGATTCTACCTTGCTCCCAAGATTGGCGACGAGGACTAAACGACTGCCATTGAGTAGTGCGACACTATCCTGCTACATGAAAATGAGCTTGGCGTTGATGTTTAAAAGGATATGGCCGAGTGGTTGGTTTTAAGGGAGCATATGTTAAAGAATATGCAATGAATAGGGATGTCAGGAGCCTCGCCTACTCAGTGAGAGCTTGTTATTAGGCATCAGAGACGTGTGCGAGCATGGGCAAAGTGGAAATGAATAGGCTAGACATGGAGATTAAGGAGTATTAGTTAGACTATCTTCTAGCCATATGTCGATCGACCAGTTTTGACGATAATGAAACTATAAAACCATTCTTGTTGGGTTAGAGGCTGTCAATGACATCAGCCGGCTTCGGAGTTTTGGTGACTTTAGTTCTTGGTTGACGAGTGGCACTGTAAAGCCTGCTGATGCTGTGCGATCATGTTCAATTAGCGTTTCACAACCTGACGCACAACATATAGTGGCTGGGTTCGTAACCAATTCTCTCATCGTACAATGTATCATACGTGAAGCCATTCGTAACAATCAAGAAGAACTGGTGTCGATGCGGGGCAGTTTATCGGAGGTTGGCGGGGCACGAGATCAAATGGAAGTCACTAGACTAGCAATCTTGAGCCATTGCCTCAATGTCTTATTCTGATAGTCTCTCTCATTAAATATCAATTCAAATCAATCGATCCTATCTCTTATCAGACCAAGTCCAAGGTAAGCGGCAATAGCTCTCTCTCTGTTGTACATGTTCGGCTTGTCATCCCCAGTCTGAGTCAAGTTTCTTAGATTTAAGCTCGTGACTAATAAGCGCATCCAGCTCCAAGGACGCCTCAATCGGATTCTAAAACTACCTTTACTTTTTAACGAAACTCAGATTCCTATTTTTCTTCCTCTCTTTTATTTCATTCTCCTTTTCTTATAAGAATTGCTTTGGTTCAGTCAAGATCCATTGCACTGAGAATCTACTACCACTACGTTTATCTGCTGACGTACAAGAGGCTTTGTCCAGTGACGTCTCTCTCATACTCTGTCAACTCAAGGCGCCTTTGGCTAGATCCGATCTAACAACTTCCTACAAGGCTCAGTTGTAACTGTTGAGAAACTGCTAAGGATATCGTCTTATTGCCTCTTATCCCATCATGTCTATTGTTCCTGCAGTGCCGGATACACGGGTTCTCGCGGTGGCAAGCCATGTACGTAAATCTTGAATCGGCCCATTTTCAATTTTGAGTCAATACTGATCATCAATTTTCACTTAGGTCGTGTCTGGGTGAGTAATACTCTCTGTTCAGAAAAGAAGAGAATTGACGGGTCCTAGTTACGTGGGTAACAAGATTGCCGTCTTTGTGCTACAGTCTCTAGGGTGCGATGTCGCAGCCCTGAATACTGTCCAGTTCAGTGAGTTTTTATAGATGACTACGAAAAAGCGCTCATGAGCCACAATCTAACATATCATTTTCACCTTTCAAGGCAACCACACTGGCTATAAGCAATGGAAGGGAACAAGAGTCTCGGCGCAGGAGATTATGGACTTGTGGGATGGACTCAAACAGTCTTATCTGGATGACTTTGACGTGATGCTCTCCGGTTACATCCCAGGCGCTGAAGCTGTTGATGCCGTTGGAAAGATAGGCCGTGAACTCAAGGATAAGTCTAAGGACACGCCGGGCAAGTTCTTCTGGGCCCTCGACCCTGTCATGGGCGACAATGGAAAGATCTACGTCTCTCCAGAAGTTGTACCGGCTTACAAGAGACTCATCCACGATGCTGATCTCATTCTCCCAAACCAGTTTGAGGCCGAGTACGATAAAAGTATTTCATCGTGTGCTTGGCTACTGACTAACCATAAATAGATTGCTCTCCGAGGTTAAAATCAACGACATGGACAGCCTTCGAAAGGCCATTCAAGTCCTTCACGACAAGTACAGAGTCCCTCACGTTGTCATTACATCAGTCAACCTAGAGGCTCCAGACCATCCTCCCTCGCACCTTGCCGTTGTTGGCTCAACCATGACTTCTACTGGCCAGGCGCGCTTTTTCAAGATCGTCTTCCCATCGATCGACTGTTACTTCAGCGGTACAGGCGACATGTTCGGGGCCCTCATGGTTATCCGCATGCGTGAGGCCGTATTCAACGCCGACGAGCGTCTACGTCACACAGCCAGCTGGCTCAGTGATGATTCTGTTTCAGCCACTGAGCTTCCACTTGCCCGAGCGGCTGAAAAGGTGTTGGGCAGCATGCATGAGGTTCTGTCCAAGACATGCGAGGGTATGAAGAGGGTTGTTGAGCGCACGACGGGTGACATGAAGGTTGAGGACCGAGACAACGAGACCAAGGTGCATCTAGTTAAGAGCAAGGCGGCTGAGCTACAACTGGTGAGGAATCTGGATTGTTTGAGGACTCCAGCAACGCAATACCATGCAAAGGCTATATAAGTATGTGCTGTGTATGAGTTGAGTTGGATTGGCTGGGTATAGAAATGGCAGAGAACAGCAGAACGAATAGAATAGGGTAGAGGCCAGAGAGAAAAGGCGTCATTCAACGGGATTTTCAACTATTTATTCGTCCATACCCTGTGACCAAGTAAAGCCCAGTCTGACACGTTAATATTGCTTGTAGAATCATCTTGGTAATGTGAGGGTTTGTATAATGTTAACCCACGTAAGATTCATCTCGCGCTTCATCTTCATCCTTCGAGGTCTCGTCCAAAATCGATCAACTTGAGCCTCATCGCATCTCTCGGGTGAAATTGCGCGATTTTGGATCGCACCAAGAATCGTGCAGCCGCAGATTCGCGCGGTATTTGCACGTAGGACGCTGAATTATCGCCTCCGGCTTCAGCAAGCGTGTTTAGAAGCTCCTCTGTAAGCGACTTCATTTCTGCCGCCGCCGCCGTGACCTCGTTCTGTCGCCCGGCACCCTCTTCAGCCGCTTGTCCCCAGATCTCATCAATCCTCCGTTGTCGCTTATCGTCTTTGTCGGCAGTCTCTTTTGGCTTTTTGAGTTTTCCCTGGGCGTTGAACCCAGCGGCCAATGCTTCTCCATCAACGTCCATGAGATCGCCAACAACAGGACCACCAAGCTCTTCCGCTGCCAGCATAGGTGCCAGATGATTATCGATAAACCGAAGCAGGACTTTCATGAGCTTGGAAGTGTCCCTGTCAAAATTCTTTTTCTTCGCTCTAAGCTCCTGTAGTCGCTCCCTTGCTCCTTCTTCCGGAGTGACATTTGTGTTTGCGTCTACTTCATCTCGTAATGAGTCAATCCGTGCGGTCAGAGCATCGCCAAGGAGATTTTGGTCCTTGAGACGCGCCTCGTCAGCCTCAAGCTGGCGCGATAGCTGCTCATGGCTCGAGCGCTGAGAAGCGAGATAAGTGTTTGACTCTTGAATTGTCTGGTGAGTTCTGCGCAAGGCTAGCAGCGCTGGGAGCAGAGAGCCTGGCGATGGCAGGAAGGGGTCTGACTCTGTCACTTCCTTGAGGGCAGCTTGAATGATCCGCGATTGTCCCACCACCGACTCTGGAAGTTGGAGTTCCTCTGACCGAAGCTAAGTAGAAGTTAGTATGTGATTCAATTTTAGGGTTTCAAGATGAGTATATACTCGTTCTAGCTCTTCTTCATGTTGTTGAACCTGTTGCTGGAGCTCCCGTAGTGTTTGGTCAAGACTGGCTGTGTATGCCTGTGCCGCCATAGTCGTGATAGTTTATAGTCAGAATTCGTGGTCAGAACGATTTGATTAGATAATTCAGCTCTGAACAGAATAATACTTGATGTTTGCCGTAAGAGTCGACGCGGTAGGAAGGCCCAGGTCTAAATGTACGTATGATGTTGGACCAATAAAAGACGAGCGCGTCTTAAGTTGGTGGTACAGAGTTAGTGTATGTTTGTTTGCTCTTCAGACATGTACCTCGAAAAGGTAAGTTGAGTTGTAGAAGCGCATTCAAGGTTTGTGGCAGTGATGCTTGCTATAACAACCAAGAGCAGGTATTCAATTCAGCTCTCACTGATATTCGAGAATTAATCAATTGTCTAGGTATTATGATTTATACTGTACAATGGCAGCTGTAATGATGTTGTATTGTGGAGTCAAAGCTCCCGTCTCATCACCTACCTACAGCGGGAAGGAAGGTTGCAAGGGCCCAAGCTTCCCTCGTACGCCAAGCACGTGACTGCTCTCAGCATTCTCCATCCTTCTGATGGATCCTCGCAGGGCTGCTTCTCCCGCTTTCTCCCAATCTCCTCACTCCAACTCGAGTACCTTACCTATCGGCCTCTTGTCGTGTTGTACCTTCCCCCCTTCCCCTCCTCCTTCCCTTTCCACCCTCGTAAGATTTTTCGTCTTGTTCATTCTCGGCGATTACTCATAATTGCGTTTTTGAGAGTGTCCTTTTTTTTATTCCTTCTCTTACCTTCTTTTCCTAGGATAGGATCGGTCCTTCCCTGTCCGTTTTGCGACAGCCTAGTCTCCGTACTAAGTTAAAACACCGCGCGCCGATCCATTGAGAGAAGTTGTTTCTGCTTCTCATCCTTCGACAGTTCGCGACGAGATATCTTCCCATCGGATCCCGCTTTCGCGTTTCGAGCCACGGATAGATTGCGATCGATTAAAACCTCGAGTCTCCGCTACGGTCAGAAGGTTTGAGCTGAGCACTGCCTCTTTTTGCTTTTTAAAGGAAGTCCGTCCGTCCCAGTATCGATCGCTTCACAATCTCCTCACAACCGTTCAACATCTTCATCACGAGATTATCATCTCCGCCCTTTCTCTCTCCTTGCCTACAGCAATCTAGGAGATCTTCCCGGGTACTTAATTGACGCCCGCTGAAAGAGTTCTGGAACCCGTCCTTAAACACGAGACTCGAATCCCTTCTCCCTCCGTTCAATTCAATTCAATCCAATTCAACCCAATTCAGCCCGCAACACGTACCGCACCGTCCTTGCGCGACACCAGTCACTTCACGAATACTTCACCGAAGCGCGCACCCAGCGAAAGTCACTACACCAGCACGTTTTCCTCGAAAACCCCTGAGTGTATATAAGACAAGCAATAAAAAGAACGAAACGTTTCAAGTTATCGACTGTGTCGAAAGGACTAAATTCGTGTGAACGTACCAATTATATCAAAGATGTCTGCTTCTCCTACTCAACCTACCCAGTCGGCCAAGCGCCCCTTGGAAGAAGCCTCATCGCCTTCGCGCGCCGGCGATCAGCCTGACGCTAAGCGTCCTGCTCTCGACAAAAGCAAGCACGACGACGATGTCGAGGTTCCTGAAGCTCCGGCCGATGTTTCTGCCGACGACCACGACGATAAGGTCAATGGGGCTGCCAAATCTGAAGACGACGACGAAGCCGCCCTGGACCAAGCATCCGACACCAAAGCTGCAGCTGCCGCGACTGTTGCTGCTTCCTCATCGAATGCCGTAACATCTGCCGCCGCTCACGATGAGACCTCCTGGATTCATATTAGAGCTGTCATCTCGAGCCCGGAGGCTGCTACAGTCATTGGAAAGGGAGGCGAGAATGTATCCAACATCAGGAAGCTCTCCAACGCCAAGTGCACTGTCAGTGACTACCAAAAGGGAGCTGTCGAGCGAATCCTTACCGTCAGTGGAATAGTAGACGCTGTGGCCAAGGTATTCCAATCTTTTCTCAATCCATTGATTTTTGCGTTAACGTGATTTAGGCTTTCGGCTTGATTATCCGAACACTGAACAACGAACCCCTCAACGAATCCTCGACCGCATCTTCAAAGACGTATCCTCTGCGGCTGCTGATTCCACACATTTTGATCGGTTCCATCATTGGCAAGGGTGGTGCTCGTATCCGTGAGATTCAGGATGCATCTGGTGCCCGATTGAATGCGTCTGATTCCTGTCTCCCCATGTCCAGTGAGCGATCTCTGGTCGTCATGGGTGTCGCGGATGCCGTGCACATTGCAACCTACTATGTCGGTAGCACCCTGCTCGAGCAGCTAAATGATAGATTTGGTGGTCCTGCTGCGTCCGCATACGCGACACGGAGCGGCGCCCCTGCTGGTTCAATTCCAGGAGGCATGCAGGTTGTTCCATACTCTCCTCAGCCCGCCTCGGGTCACTACGGCCGAAGTGAGAATTATGGCCGCCACAACGACCGTCGCTCTCACCATATGCCACCCGCGCCTTACCCCCAACAGTACCCGCCACACGCAGCCGCTCAAGCTAACCCTGCCATTCCCATGCATTACGGCGGTGCGCAAGGAGGAGGTGCCTATGGTGCAGCTCCCCATGCCCAGCCTCACATGCCTCCTCACACAGGTCCTCAACCCCACGGCGGTGCTCCTCAGTCCCAGCCCATGGGCGGCGCGATCCCCGGTGGGCCTATCACCCAGCAGATTTACATCCCGAACGACATGGTCGGCGCGATCATCGGCAAGGGTGGCCAGAAGATCAACGAGATACGACAAATGAGCAACAGTGTTATTAAGATTAACGAACCGCAAGATAACAGCAACGAACGACTTGTGACAATCACCGGAACGGAGGAATGCAATCGCATGGCTCTTTACATGCTCTACTCTCGACTTGGTGAGATTCAAAACAGACCCAGTACCAACTAAGCTTCTAACCATGACAACTCAACAGAATCGGAAAAACACCGTGTTTAATTAAACCTTCGACGCGAATGCGACGAACCTCGACCGATCCACGGAATCTGACGAATACAGTGTTGTTTATAGGGGTATTAAGAAGCTAAAAGGAGGATGCAGTGTGTTCTGTCTTTGCGAGAGAACGCAGTTTCGAAGAAGTAAAGGGATCTAGCGACGTTTTTGGAGGCGCCAACGAATCGATGCCGACCCAACAGCCCATGTCCGGATTACAGTTTCAAGTAGGGGTGGAAAGAGGTCGCTAGACGGTTGAGCGGCATATAAATGGTGTCAAAGGATGGGTTCGCATTTCATCGGGATGAAAAAGGAAACAAGACGGGGCTGCTTGGCAAAGAGTGGAAGCGTCACTGCTCGACAGGAGACAGCTTTCAGGGTCCTTGGTTTTTCAACGGCGCATTGACTCTGTTTTTGTTTTGTTCACTACTTAATTCAATAAACTTTGGTATTTACAAAAGCAACACTGTTATCTGGATATTTTCTAGGGATAAGCAATGGTCTCTAGATCGAGACTCAGAATCCGCCTAACCTTTGGGATTTGGCCTAGAAATGTTCTTTCTTGTGTAGCCAGCAGTGCGGTTTTAGGAGACCTCTAAAAGATACTTCCAACTAGAGCTTCTTGAGGGGAACATGATACTAATATGACGTTAGTTATCCGATGAGCTGTCTGAACACAACCAAGACTTACTATCTCAAGGCTCTTGTTCCGAGCAAGCAGGTAATAGATGTTGTCGTCGATTGCTTTCATGTTGTTAGCTTGTGCTATAGCATATCAGCTTCCAAGGGTACTTGCCGCTGCCACTATTCTTGTGCTGCAAATGAGCTTCTTTACTATCCCAGCCCATCAGTAGCCTTGATGCACGACCAGGGATGACCGAGGAGTCTTCATGTTCACCTTGGACAAACTCTCCGTAAGCTAGACCATGAAGACCAGCCAGCTTACCCTCATCACAAGCCACAGCGAACGGCTTCATGTTATCCTCTGTGAAGGTCTCATCGATGCCCCAGCAGGTACAGAATTCAGTAATCGGTGCATGCAGAGCAGATTCAGCATGGCCTGTATACTCCGCAGTTGGACTGACGATAGGATGGCCCGTCACGAGAGCACGCAGAGAAGCATGCCAGTCAGTGGCCGCAGAACCAGAGACAAAAGCGTCATAAGCAGGACGCGAGGCCCAGCGAATACCAAGGAACCAGTAGTCAGGCTTCTCGAGAGGGCGACCAAGGTAGACGGACTCGACACCTGGGATAGACTTGAGGTGGTCGGTCACAGAGGAGAAAGATGCCGGAGGGGACTCGGCATGTTCAACGAGGATAGGTTTAAATTTGACGAGAAGGGACTCAAAGACTACTGACATGGCGAATGTGAATCAAAAGAGTTCTTTGAGATTGCACTATAAGAGGTACGATGCGAATTTTGAAGCTGTGAGTCTGTTCACATTGATGCTAAGCATAGAAGAAAGCAAATCAACATATAGACATGAGTTGAGTGATGACAGGGAACAAAGGGTTCTACAGACAGCCGGACGATACGAGAGGGTTCGATGAAATGGGTACCAAAGAATGACGCGTTTTGAGTTCCTGGCATTGATGAGGGGTATCTACCAATTATGAGGCTCTAAGATGTGGTGTAAGTGAGCTCTGGGCAGGAGCTGTATGTAGCTTCGAGTACAGTGCTGTATGAGGAATGGTGGGAGACTTGAAGGTGAGGGTGCCTAGAAACTTCTGTACGTACTGGAGCCATAGAGTTGTACTCGGTACATTGATTGCGAGAAAACCTGGTATAGGTTTCAATAGACGAGGTCCATTGTTTCCAACGGGTGATCTTCGATATCCTGTCTACATCCATGTAGATATTCTATTCATCCATGAAATGTCTTGGACAAGGACAACTCCGTACATGTACATAAGTAACTTCCCACTCATCTGCACCTTCCATCTAGACTCTCGGCACTTACGGTAGGCGTTCTCCACAACGTGCGGCCGGACCCTTTTAAGAGCGGAAGGTCCAGTCCGACCACTCCAGCTTGCCTTCCCCAAGCCACCCTACCACCGTTACTACCGGCCAGCGTCTCCCAAAACGAGAAGGCGCCATGACATAGGTTCTATTGGGCAATTGAGGAAATTAACATTTGCGCGTCGCGTGTTTTGTATTTTACTGGGCTCCTTTTCTTTAACATCACCTGCCTCTCTCTCCGAATTATCGATCGTGGCTAACAGGCACTATTTTGACTTGACGCCTGCTAGCCTTACCACTAACAGCGGTTACGCCTGGTTGGTGCCGTTATCGTAATTAATTAATATCCTCAACCGAGGCATCGCGCCACCTGAATTCAATCTTTCCACCTGCAGATCTTATACTCTAACCTTACATGTACGGGTTATATACACATCTATCTAATCTAATCTGCTGTCGCTTTTTTTTTCTTCTTTCCCTCTTTCACCTCGGCGACGACAGTCACCATTACTTCCGCATACTCTACCGGCGCCATGGTCATGGCAAGTGACGCTTCTGAGCATGTCACGTCGCCTTCTACCATAGTCGTCGACCACGATGGCTCTCGTCAGGGTGCTCCTTCCGAGGTCAATCTTTTGACCCTGAATTGCTGGGGTCTTCGCTACATTTCGACTCAACGTAACGCGCGACTAGACGAGATCGGCCATAGAATTGCACACGCTGTACCTACACCGCAAATCGTCGCTTTGCAGGAATGTTTTACACAGGAGGATTATCAGGCTATTCGTCACCATACTCGCCAAATTCTTCCCTATGGCAAGTTTTACCATAGCGGCGCCTTCGGGGGTGGTTTGGCCATCTTGAGTCACTGGCCTATTGAGGAAAGCACCATGTTCAAATATCCTCTCAATGGACGTCCGACCGCCTTTTGGAGAGGAGATTGGTATGTGGGTAAGGGTATCGCATGTGCGAAGATTCGCTTTGGGCCAAGAAGAAAGGATATCATCGAGGTCTTCAACACTCATGTAAGTCGCCCTTGTTCATGAGGTTCGTGCTCTTGCCTAACGCATCTCAGACTCACGCCCCTTACGAGCCTGAACCCGTGAGTACCTACACTTGCCATCAAGTTGCTCAGTCATGGGAAATGTCGAAGCTTTTACGCGGTGCTGCTGAACGAGGACATCTCGTTGTTGGCATGGGTGACTTTAACATGCTCCCCTTGTCCATATTCCACCGTGTTATCACAGGATGTGCGCCTGTTCGCGATGTTTGGCGAATTCTTCATCCAGATAGCTCTCTTGGTCCTGCTTACCACCCTTCTGAGAAGGAACGCCACCGCCCTTTACCTACAGCTGACTTCAACCTCCTCGAGAATGGCGCAACTAGCAATTCCGTCTACAACACCTGGCGTTGGAACAAGAATCAGCAGAATCGTCTCAAAAAGGGCGATATTTGTGAAGTCCCACCTGACACGATCGACTCTAGAGGTCAACGCCTTGATTATATATTTGCTTCGACAGGTGTCGACCCTGATGCTCCAGCCACCACCCCCGGCTGGATCGTCAAATCCGCTCACGTTTCAATGACTGAACGACATCCCGACCTTCTTTGTTCGCTCTCGGATCACTTCGCCGTCCAAGCTACTCTCACCCGGCACACTCCTTCTCCGGCGCCTACTCCAGTTGATCCTCGCTCTGAGACTCCTTCTGCGGCTCTCCAGACCGGTGCGTACTTGGCTCCCAGCAGTCCAGCTAGCAGCATACATGCTGGTGATGCAGCGCAGACTGCCGATCCGGATACTCAGCTCAAGCGTGGCCGCTCCTCCAGCCGTGACTCTTTGCAAGCATCCACATACGATGAGATTCTTGGCATGATTCAAAAGTATCACTCCCGTGAACTCCAGCAACGCTTTTGGCGTGGTGTACATTTCTTTGTTGCATTGTTTATCTGGTTCGCATGTCTTGTTGCTGTGTGGTTCAGCCCTGAGAATTTTGTTGCATTCATCCTTATGCTGATCAGCAGTCTAAGCTTGGTTGCAGGCGTTATCGATGGCCTTCTCTCCCTACTCTTCTTTTCCTGGGAGATTCGCGGTTTGAAAGAATTTGAATGGGAAATCCGTAATGCCAAGGCTGTAGCTTCGGGTGACCCTACTGCATTGATGGACTCCGAGGCATATCTTACTGGGCAGAGACCCAAATCTCAATGATGGAAGAAATAATAGGAACTGCATATCATGTTGACTGATGACGACTTGACGTTTTTGTTTAGCACTAGGATGATGGAATGAGGATAGGATATACGTACATATGCCACTACTACGGCCTAATGCTTAATGTCTATTCATAATACTACTTTTGAGGGTTCGGAGGAGCTTACAAAACTTTTCACTGTCTCTTTATTCTCCTACTCTTTCGTGGTTCCGTTCGTTTCTGGTTCAAAAACTGTTCGAGGTGGAAGTGCTTTAGGCTGCAACTTGTACTTCAGAGACCGAGGGTGTCTCTGGCTGCGTCTGCTCAATGTAACCACCAGGTCGCATTCGTCGCCAGGTATATCCCATGAATGCCGTTTCTTTTCGAATCCTCAGTGATATCTTCTTCGTACTCTTGTCCCGAAGCAACATGTCTCGTGGGCGCTTACGCTCCTTGTGGCCGTAAAACCTGACAAACTGCTTCAACGTTGCCTTCTCGTTAGGCTGAAGGTCAGTCGCTGCATCGATATCACGGTCCATACTTCGAAGTTTGGCCGCATCGAACGGAACTTTGATGAGCCCCATGGCCTTCTCCTGCACGTGAGCTTCGAATCCAAACAGTAGCTCTTTCACGTCTTCTGTGTTGAGATATATGCCGGAGGGTATGGATTCAGACCAGTCTTCGAAAGGTTCAGACTCGTCAAAGTAATGTGCATCATCGTCGCTTTTTAGGTTAGGGGTGAATGGTGCCGGCATGGACTGTAAGCGGTCCCATTGCGTGTTCTTGAACCATCTGTGGGCTTTTATATCTTCCGCGTCACCAGGGAACACATAGCGACCACCTTAATCTCGTGAGCCCTCAAAGCCGCGGTACTTCATTTGGTATTTCCTTGAGCACAATCGGGAGTCTTTATCTTGAATCAATTGCCAGATAAGGTCTTTGCACTTTTCAGTGACAAAAGGCCTATGTGGAAATTTGAAGTTCGTTTTGAAATTCTACACCAACGTGTCAGTCTTCCTCAGCTAAGATTCAGTCAAGCATACTCACAACGATGTTTTGCTTCGTCTGTTTGCGTCCCTCTTCTGCCAGAAAGGGGGTTTGCCCATAAAGGCATTCGTAGAGGATGATGCCAATGCTCTACTAATCACATCTCCCATCGTACTGATGGCCACGAACCACTTCAGGTGCCATGTACTGGCTAGTTCCAACAACGGAGCGCGCGGCAGTGCGGTTACCGTGTCGGTTTCTCCAACCGATGAGAGTTCGCAAATCTTCATTGCCCACTGGATATCTTGCATGTCGATCGAGTCCAGACATAACGGACTGGTACCATTCGAATTGTTTCAAGATGTCCTTGCTGGTTTTCTGATCTATTTCATCCCCAGTGACATTTATACCGAGTCCTCGCACCAGTGAATATCGATGAGTGCTGTAATATGCTGCGTCGTGAGACCAGTGGTCGTCAAATGCTAGTCCGAAATCAGATATCTTCAAGTGGCCACTCGCTGATATCAGAAAGTTGTCTGGTTTTATGTCGCGATGAATGAAGTTCAATCGATGGGCCTCTTCCATAGCAAGGATCATCTCTGCAATGTAGAATTGCGCAATGGGTTCTTGCAAGATGTGTTGTCGAATGAGTAGTCCAAGAAAGTCTCCGCCGGGCATATACTCCATTACAAGATAGAGACTTGTTGGGTCTTGAAAGCTGGCGATCAATGGAACAGCCCTAGGTGAGTTGTTAGTCAAGTACTCGACATGCATTCGATCGTGTCTTATGCGAACCACTGTGAGCCTTCGGAGGCAACAAGAAAGTCCCTCTCAGCCCTCAGATGACCTTCTTGGCTGTTCCGTATCATTTCCGACTTCCGAATGACCTTCATAGCGTATACCTGTCTGGGGAAAGCATGTCCTGGAGCAGCCTTCTCACGTACCAATCTAACTACTCCAAAACTTCCTTTGCCCAAAATCTTCAATGGCTCGTAATTGTTGACTGAGAGTCCAGATTCATCCTTCCAGTCATGAGCGATGCAATGGGCTTTCATTGTTCGTAGCTCCCTCAGATGGCAGGTCTCCTGTATTCTGTACTGCACTCGAATTCTCTCTTTGTCTTCTGGTGTTATTAGCAAGCAGTTGCACAACTGAGCTTCGAGACTTTGAAATCTTAAAGCCCTCGCATTGGGTTTGTAAAGGAGCTCGTTGTAATGGGTCTCGAGGAAGATCTTGGCAGCGGAGGCTCTCTCTACAGTAGCAATTGTAGGTCGAGCTTGGATTACGCCAGCTTCCGGAATGGTACTGAGTGCTCGACCTTCGGGACTAGATCGTGTCCATGGATTCCGTCTATTGTATCGTCTATCAGCTGTTGCCCTATCCTGCTGTGAGGGAGACGATTCGACTGATGTTTTCGCCGTTGACTCTTCCGGAACTGAGGAGGGCTTAGCACTTGCTTCGGAGCAAGTAGGAGTTGATAAGTCACTCAAGGGAGTGACGTTCAACGGTTGCAAAGAACTTCGTGCCCTTGCTGGAGGAGTTCGGATCACCAATGTCGAATTGGAAGTCATGGCCACGGGGTTCGGTCGGAACTTTCGGAGTAGTTCCTTTGTATGGGGACTCTTGGGAGCGAATCCATGTTCTTGGGCATATTTCGCCAGTTGAATGGCTCTGACTTGATCTCCAGGAGGCGTGTTCAAGTCCTTTGATACCTCAACAACTATGACAGTTAGGTTTAAGTACAAACGAGGGCATCGAGATACTTACCACTGCGTCCACTGATCCTCAGGCTTTTGAGGGCACTCCGAAAAGGCTTCCCCCATCTTTTCGAGCCAACATTGCCAGGTTTCCGTACATCGAGGCCGTCAGGGCCATTCGCCTCAGAGTCCGGTGACGGTTCTAAAGCATGTTTTGAATCACATGAAGAAAGACGTATAAACTGTTGGCTGGCCTTCTTGAGGAGGGCCGGGGCCATGATGCTGCAAGATGAATGATGAAGAGAAAGTTATTGCTGCATCGATACTGAGTAAGAAAGTAGAATAAGGCTTTATTAAAGTATTAAAGAATTAACGGGAACACCGTACTCTGAAGAGAATGACACCTGAACCGTGTGCACGATAGCCTTGTTTATGTCACGGCCGGCATGTTACATGATAGATGCAGGTTAGAATACCAATCAAGGCAACAGACCACTTTATGAGAGGTTGGTTGGGGAAGTTTGATGTGGGTTGTGACTTCCTCGACCGCACTTGCCAAACGAAAGGGTAAGCAGAGGGATCATGTTTTTACATTTTCACGGCAAGAAACAATACACGAGGTCGAGTCATAAGATGAAGAGGAAAGAAATAGCATTTTATCTGCTCAACTCTACATATCCTTTCAGATGGAGGGAAAAGTATCCCACAGTAACAGCAAAAAAAGAAACAATAACCCTTTTTATCGTACGCCAATTTCATATCATGCAACGCGGGACGGTCCTCGCCCCATCATTCCTGTTTGCCATCTAGACTGCTCCCCTCATGTTTTGTATAAACACGGGCTCTTTGCAGGGCAAAAGTCCAAGGCTCCTTATCCTGACATGCGGCCCAACAGCAATCGAGCAGCACATGATGTGCATAGAAGCCTAGGAAGAGAAACGTCTCCATGTCATCAACTCGTCGCCTCCTGCCACCGCTCTGAAGGGGGTATTATACGAGACTGGTGGCGAGTCGGCAACTCAGGCTAGTGGAATTCATAGCTTGCGCTACGCTCACTTGATCTCCAGGAGCTTGACATCGAAGACCAATGTGCTGTTGGCAGGAATGCCGGGAAGGCCACGAGAGCCGTAGGCGAGGTGGGCAGGGATGGTCAGACGACGCTCACCACCAATGGCCATGCCGACGACACCAATGTCCCAGCCCTTGATGACCTGACCCTTGCCGGCCTTGAAGGAGAAAGGCTTACCCTTCTTGTTGGCTATTGAATGTCAGTAAAGCTGCGCCAGTAGTGAAACAATGGAGTACTAACCATCGAACTGCTTTCCGTTCTGGAGCTTGCCAATGTATCGGACACCGACGGTATCGCCGTTCTTGACAGTGCGGCCGTTACCGATGGTTCGGTCGTCGATGGTGACGCCTTGAACAACCTTAACGCCGGTGGCAGGCTTGGTGTCCTTGCCCTGCTTGGCCTTCTCGGTGGAACCGGTAGGGCCCTGCTCGAGGTTCTTGGCGAACTGAACCTTCTTAGCATCCTTCTTCTCCTCGGCGGCGACAGCCTCGCCCTGGTTGTTCTTGAGCTTCTTTTGCTGCTTCTTGGAAAGCTTAGCATCGTCCTTGGCCATGAGCTCATCGAGACCCTCGGCCTCCTCGGCGGCGCGCTTGTTCTTGCCCTTCTTGGCAGCAACAAGCTTGGGGGCCTCCTCCTCATCAGTCTCAATCTCCTGGATGCGGGGGTCCTCAAGGCCATCGAGGTCATCGCTGGCGTCACTGTCGTCACCCTCGAGGCCGTACTCGAGCTCATCGGGGGACAGGTCGTACTCGTCCTCGTCCTCAGAGTCCTCATCCTCATCGTCGTCCATGATGTAGTTTCCGGTCAGGTAAACAGTGTGGGAACCGGTGACAACGAAGAAGACCTTCTCGCCGTGGTTGACGGTGATGTCAAGAGGCTGCTGGTAGTTCTGGAATAAAGTTAGTTGGTTGTCTTGATAGAGCATTGGCTACAACTTACCCTCTCGGTGTCAAGAGTGCAGATGACAAAGTTCTCGAGGTCGGCACCCTCCTCGCTGTCATCGTCGGAGTCCTCGTCGTCCTCATCATCGTCCTCCTCGGTGGCCTTAGCCTTGCCCTTGGACTTGCCGTTGGGCTTAGCATCCTCCATCTCCTCGTCGGACTCCTCCTCCTGGGCGGATTCGAGAAGCTTCTTGATGGCGGCAGCCTGTCGCTGCTTCTTGGCCTTGACGGGGTCGCTGGGGCCACCGTTGGCCTCCTCATCAGAGTCCTCCTCGTCGTCAGAGCCGGCAAGCAGAGCCTTCAAGGTCTCGTCGTCAATCTCCTCATCATCCTCATCCTCCTCGTCGAGATCAGTGAGAGCGCGCTTGACAAGGCGCAGGGTAGAGCGAGGGACGGTGGGGATGTTGCCCTCACCATCGGCCTCAGGCTCCTCTGTAGGGTCGACAGCAGCCATGGTGATGCGGAACTGCAAAGTTTTACGGTTAGAATTTTGGACTCAATTGGTAGGGCAGACAGCGTCGCAAATGATGCGCCGAGGACCAGACACAAGCCCGGTCGTAAAGACGCATCACATCGCATCAGGAGCGCCTTGGAGCATCGAGAAATAGACTTACAGAAGCAGGGAACTCCATGGCGGCAGGAATCAAGATCTCTCCAGGAGGGACCTCGAGGCCGTAAACGGGACCAGGAACAGCAGACATTGTGACAGTTGTGTGATTACTTTTGTGTCAAAAAGACTATAGGTGTATAAAGGGAATGGGGTAGAGAATGGAGAATTAGGAAGTAAGAGAAAAGATGAAGAGATGATGTTGGGATGAAGTTTTGTTAGAACTCTCGCTCACTACGAAAGAAGAAAACTAAGAATCGAGAAGCATCCTCCAAAGCTTCGAAATTTTTTTCGGGGCTCGACAGGTGCCCCCACTGGGAAGAGCACCTTCTGCCAATGGGAGTTTGCGATAAGAATTCTTATCTGAATGGGGCGGTCGCTGTCGCAGCAACAGCAGACAGTATCCGCTCTGGTGCAGATTTTCCCGCCGCAAACTCCACTATCCAGCGAAGGCAAGGAAAGAGCCTTTGAGAGCCTCCGAGGAAAAGACGGTAACTTTACTGAGCGAGTCAAGCGCGAACAAGTCGAGTTTGAAGACAAGAGGCAAGAGCAGGTATATTTACTAATCATCGCAAAGTATATTCGTCTTATCTTGAGAACAATCAATAACTTAGTACACTGCTTAATACCATGAACATCGATACTATTACAGGGTAGCGGCCAGACTAAAAGATGACGTCTATCCTTCGGTCTCGTCAACTTTAACTTGTCTAACTAATCCTTCTTGCTCTGATTCTTCTTGGATGGCATCAAACTCAAAAACCAAGCCTGAGCAATATGCCATGCAATGGTTAAGAAGAACTTGCGCTGGCCTTGATCATACAATTGAGGTCGATCCCCAACGTCAGTCAGCATTGAGCCCATACTAACAACAGGTTTTGGCCAATATTTGCTGTTGGCGTAGGCATAAGCAACCATCATATCGTTGCCATTGGTTATCCCACCTATGATTCTGTTAGCCATTGGCGTACGGGTGTTCAAGCAAAGACATACCACTTGTCCACAAGTTGCTATCTTGAATCCATCGATACTTTTCTCCCACAAACTTAACATTTGGATACTTCTTCCTCAGATCATCCTGTAGTCCTCGAGGCCCACTTACACTCTTCCCATCAAGTATGCCTGCTGCACCACACAGGAAGACACCAGTGCAAACACACAACACATCAACACCCTCTGTGTTGAATTGATCCCTCAGCCACCTGGTTGCATCCTCCTCAAAGTCATCGCCTGGTTCTGTACCAGGAACAACGACGATGTCCAGTTTGCCTGGTGCAACATCCTCATCTTCGTATGTGCGTGTTGCGCGGATGGTGAGATCAGCAGTCAGAGCTACATCTGGGAAGAGCTTGGGTGATGTGATGTATGTTATCTTGATGCTGGGTGCCATCTTGCCAATGTGAGCTGGCAGAGGTAAGAGGCCAAGATATTCTTTCGACATTGAGGCAAGTACATCAACTGTCGCGAGGTCGAGGAGTTGTACGCTTGAGGGCATGAAAACGCCGATACGTAGTTGCTTAGATGCCATCTTAAAGGTGCTAGATGGGAAAGAAAATATTGATATTGATACTAAGCAACAGGATAATGTCTTCCATCGACCAAGACTTATATACTTTTTATATGATGTATTCCAGCGTCTCTAGTCTGACTTACAATCCGTATGGCCAAGGAAATAGCTTCAAGATATCGGACGGTAATGGTCCCGTCGCGAAAAATGTCTCCGAATGCTGTATTAGTCCCCCGGCCCCCCTCTCATTGGCTCAATTGACTTAACATCCGAAGGCCTTCGGCGCCGAGTGACTCCACATAACCAGTTTTACTCTGTAAGAGATTGTATTGTACCCGAGTCCCAGATAGCCATGAGACGTCTTTATGCCTGTTCGATGAGGTTCAGTATTATTACTATATTATTTCGACCTCTCATTACCACTCAAGTCATTAGTAGCTGTATGCTCTATTATGCCCATGTATTATTATTACCTATCCAGTTATGCATCATTCATTGCAACATTGCCACAAAGTAACCTCCACTGCGGCGCAATTATGCCATATCATCCACCTTCACAATCTGTATCTGCTGTCTCGTCGCCTTCTTACTCACAGTATAAACCAAATCCTGGCCCCAAAGCTGGCAAACCAAAGCCTGGGCGCTGGGAATAGTACCATACAATGGCGCAACGACCGGAATAACGAGATAATCATACCAGTTCCTCTTCAGGGACCGTCTTGAAAAGTCCATCGTATCAGCCAAACCGGCCTTGACCATCTCCCTCTCACGAGTAGCAACACAGACTTGGTGGTAGCTCTCGTAAAGAGATACGTAGATTCCAATTTGGAAGAACCCGTAGATGCGGATGATATTGCACCAATCAAAGATCCAAGTAAGGTTTCGTGGATCGTCGTTGTTTTCTGTAAGCTTTACGTACAGCGCAGAAGAAAGGACCAGAATTGCCATGTGGACGGGGAGAAAATGGGCTTCGAAAAGGCGATGCATCATGTAGAAGATGTGCTCCCAGTGCGGTTGTTCAACAGTATCCTTGTGAATACCAGAAAAGATACCATTCTCAACATGAGGTTGACCAATCTGCTCGTCTATTAAAAAAGTTTCGGGAATAGCGACATCGTTGGCGGCAGAAAGTGTCTGATGAAGAGGCTGATAGGCGCGATGAGTCTGCTTTCGATCCTTCCACAGTTGGACAAGTTTGCATAGTGCAAAACCAGTATCAAGAGCACCCCACATATGACGGAGAGCCTGCTTGTAACGGGCATGAGCGTCCTTCAGGAGACCACCACCACCGGTGACATTGCTCTGGCTAATAGGGCTGTAGATGACTCGACTTGTCAAGTTGCCATTGAGTGCAAAGAAACACTTGATATACATATGCAAATCTTCACCAATAGCTTCGCTGCCGCAATCCCAGCCACCAACTCGATCAATCAAGTCAAGTGGAAGAGAGTACACGGAAGTAGGTGGCGCAATAGATGATCCAGGGTACAAACCAGACATTCCAGCGGCTCCCCATAATATGTCAGCGACGCGAACAACAGCTGGGACCGAATGAGCGTTTCGATCGAAGATCATAGGGGCTGAGTAGACGGTAGTCAATGCTGTCTCAGAATACGACAAGTGCATATTCGTTAGGATTGTAAAGTAGTTCGACGAAAGATGACTATCGGCTAGAAAAGAGTGTTAGCAAAACGGTATAGACTAGAAACAGGAACAAACATACCATCAATACCCGTGACTATGATATTGTTTCTTAGAGTTGAGGGGTATTTCTCGCTTAGTTTACGAGCAGCCCATCCGATATTGCTTCCCTTTCCAGCAGCCTCTCCAGGAACATCTGAAGGATGAAGAGTGAAGTCGAGAGATCGAAACCGTTTGGAAAACTCTTGAATTAGGCCGAGAGCCTTTGTCTCAGCGGTGCTCTCTCGCTGTTCCATTCCAAGATAAACCTAGCAGAACGGGTTAGAAATCACTTCAGTGGTACAATTTCAGTTTATACGTTCAAACGACTTACATCATAAGAATAGTGAGCTTGTGGGTGGGACGCCAAAACGTCCAGTGTCTCTCTGAGTGTATCGGTCTCTTCTTTGTAGTTGGGAATAATAATTGCATGGACTACGTTGTCGTTGGCTCCTGGCACACCGTCCGTGTAGAAATCGGGATCGCAATCGCCTGCTTCGCTGGTGGTTGACGAACTGGTACTGGTGCGACTGGATATGAGAGTCTCAGAACTCGAAGCAGAAGTGTACGAGTCACGACGTGACGCAAGTCTTTTCAGGTCAAGTAATGAATCGCTACGCGCCGCTCGCTTCATGTATTGTGTGAGATTCCATATCGTCCAACACGCCCGGAGAGGGAAGATGCAGACGAGGACGTGAACAAGAAGGCAGTAATAGGCGAAAAGGTAACTCCAGGAACCTGCGCCTATGGTTGAAGTTGATGGATAAAGTGCGTCCTTACCGTCTGTTTGATCGTAGCTGTATTGTTGCTGCTCAAAGGTTGAGTCGCGGGAGACGACCCAGTAGCAGAGAGCACTGAGAGCAATCATGCTCAGGCCTCCCGCGCGTTGCGCGAACCACGTAAACACAGTCATGGTGTTTGATGCTGCCGGGAGAGACCGTCGTCCAGACAGATGAATCTGTAGACACAGACAGGTATGTAGCTGGTTAAGAAGTTGAACAACTTGAAATCAGTATGGCAGTAACAAAGTGAAACGGAAGGGCAGACACAATATTCATCAGAATTAGGGGAGAGAACAGAACAAGCTGTGACGTCTATCTGCATGTGTAAGTGCTATAGATCCGAGCTTCACAAATGTAGATGCAATATGATATCGTGAAAGCAGCTAGCCCCGGGAGATTAGGGAAAGAAACGGCATAGAGAAGATACAGTGATCATCCCGAGTGCACAAATTACATGTTCCCGTCAAAGACACGGCCGCCAACCCGTATAGCACGCGCCATGGTATAGACAGTCTGATTCGGCCATGGCAACAAGATAATGATCTCTCTCGACTCCACACCCATTTAGCGAAAGATGGGGTCAAGAGACGAACACATGGAGCCCAAGTTCTGAAGAGGCCAGTCCATAATGGCTATAGGTGACTCAAGTCGAGAACGGGAGCCAGGGCGGTGTGTTTGCTGAGTGTGCCAATGCCAAGCTATGATGGTTTCTTGGTAAACAAGCTCGACGACCGTAGTTCTAATAAGCAGGCATCGTGCGATGTAGTAGATAGACCCTGAAATTCGATACCAGAGGTCTTGGACGTTGAGCTCCGGCCACTCACAATCGAGGATATGCCCATGATATAGATGCACGAGCCCATGAGACTTATAACTCCTTGCCGGAGCTAGTCCCGATTCGCATTTGATGTGCTGCAGCCAATGCTTCTTTCGTCTTTGATCGAACAATTTGAAAAGATGCATGGCTTCTTGTGACCGATTTCACCTTGAAGAACTTAAGCAACACAAAACAACGGATGACCAGCTCGAATACGGAGTGACTTTCCGAATCGAAGTCTAACCGTCATCCGATTGTTTGTAATGCGAGTAAACCCAAGATATACTGGTGATCAAGACTAGATGGTTGACCTAGCCGTTTGAACCTGACTGCAATGCTCGGGTCCAGACACTTTGACGACCAGCTAGTTTTTATGACTCGCGCAGTCCAGTCAGGGTAATAATATGTGTGTTAACGGCCATTTCTCGATAATAGTAATGGTGTAGCAGTCGACTGTTGTTGTTATCATTGCTCCCCTGAGCTTTCTTTTTGTATGCTATACCAGTGGTATATTGCATCAGCCATCATCTGAAAATCCATGCTCTCCAGAAACAATCCTATCTGGAACTTTGACTGGCACTGGTATGCAAAGACTCGGTTAAGCCATGTCGCAGATGGTGCTGCCCAAGACATCGTTGGGACATCCTCAACCCCAGTAAACAGAGATCACAGTTATCAGGCCTCCAATTTGGAACCTCGACACTTGGTTGGTGTTTGCATAGGAACGTTGATAGACAGAAAACTTTGACTGGCTAATAGTTTCGTTCACGCGGCCCTCTTGCCCCTGTCATGGTAGGGTGTCTGTCGCAAAGCCTTTTGGTAGTTGTGATAGCTGGGACCCTGTTCATCAATAACATGCGGTAACTTCAACACGCGCCGCCACAACTGGATATGAACCCGCTATGACATGTGCCAAAACCACGGCGACATCTTTCGGAACCTGGTTAAGGGCTCTATGGTTATCTTCCGGCAATTGACGAGTGTATTAGTCGATGCCGATGATACACGGCTATTGTAGACCCACGAGGACAAGTGATTGGATGTCGCATTTTCGTACAGGCCCGCTCTAATACGACAATGGTAAAGCTGAAGCACCGTAGCTAAGTGTTAGGTATAATCGCGTTCGTAGTATCGTGGAAATAATAGTCACAGGGTTCGGGAAGTATTGAGCAGTAAGAGAGAGATACTGAGTGGTCAATTCGAGCTGTCTGTTGCGATAGACTGGTCTCGGGTGCCGAACCAGTATGGATGCTCGATTTTGAACCATTGTTGTTTCCCTCGGGGTATATTTTGTCAAGGGAAACTCTCCCAGCTCCCTGCCAGGGCAAATATTCCCTTATTGTTTCAACCATTTCTGTAAACGCCGTACTCCCGCTGTATATCATGCTACCGTAACGTCAAATTTGCCTCGACTGAAGAGGTTCCGATACCCAATTTCCTTGCCTAATCTTATCAAACCGAGACGAGCTGGTTTGCGGGCTCGAATGCGAATTGAAAACATAATCGAGTGATTTCACCAGTCGTGCTACCATCTATTAGGGTGCCTTCTCGAAAAGCATGTGGATTGGCTTGGCAGCCTGGAAGAATGTTAGAACAGAGAACAACGAAACACAAATTGTGGGTACAAAAGATCGAGTATACTGACATCAATAAACTTCTCGAGGTCATTGTCAAGGTTGGCCAAGTCATCCTTTCGTCGCTTGTTATCCGCGATGAGTTTCTGCTTTCGCTTGAGGAGCTCCTGTCTCTGTTGCTCGAGCGCTTCACGCTCAGCTCGCTCATGGTCGATACGCGCCACCATCAAGGTATTCTCGTCATCGTCTTGATGCTCGGGATGTTGTGCAAGGAATTCCTCAACGGGGATCAGAGGTAGTTGCTGGTACTTGTGGCTACACTGTGTTAGCGGACTGAGCCATGGCATAGCAAGAGTCTGGGCGCTGTAGCTTACTCGTAGGATTCACATGCTGTGATTTCACCTTGGAGATGTCGTTGCTCGTAGTACAGGTTCTGAAGATCAAGATGCAAACGATCGACTTCCTGACGCGATTCGGCAGTCTGTGCTTTGGTATCACGGGCTTCGAAGCAGACGTTTCGGTGCATTCCTTTCAACTGGGCCAAAGTCGCGAAGAGATGTCTCTGTTCCTTGTATAATTCATCTAGCGCCTGGTCTGATGCAGGTCCTTGGCTGTAGATTTGCTCGCCGAGGTTGATGAAGGTGGTAGCTTGATCGCGTGCCTGTTCGGAAGTCTGCAAGATGGTGCGGAGCTTCGGATCCGTTACGATTTTATCGATCGCCATCTTTGCGTATGGGCGCGAAGTATTTAAGTCGTAGGAGGTATGACGAAGTGTTCTTTGTTGATATTGCGATCGATGCTCGAAAGAAATGGGATGGTTTGTTTGTTCTGCAGGAGGGAGAATTACTTGATGAGCATAAAGGTGGGGCTCTGAATTGTACATCACTAGAACAGCACCTACCAAACCTAACGACAGACTGCGCTCTACAGGTGACAAAGTTAGATGGAGGTGTGAGCTATCTTTAAATTTGAAATAATTCAATTATCAAATAAGACAAATAGAGCACAGCAGGCAGATAGAAGTTAGTAGAAACAGATTTTATATTCCTATTCAATTTGTGGTATAGAAATCTAAGTCTCAAGAGCCTATTAGAGATCTGTTTGCTTCACTTATAACTTCACTTACACGCCAGAAGTCACCTCTAGTACCATCTGCTTAAACACACACGTTAGACAAAGTCACAGTACTTTGGACAACATACGCGAATATAATCTTTGTCTGCTCTCAATCATGGTACCTGGCCATTGTGCGACTGCAGCTCACTGACTCACATCTCCTCAAGCAACCCTATTGATTCGCATGTCCTAACCAATCCAACATGGGCAGACCTACAGATAGAGACACAGACGCTGTTATACCGCCTAAGATCAACGCATAGATCAAATATAGTCCCTGCGTCTACTAGTCTGCTGGTAAACAAGGCGGTGACATTAAACAACCAATGCTGGTTTAGAGAAAGCGAGTCATCCCCGTCAGCCTGCATCTTTAAATCTCCGCAGGGTTTGGACATGTGAGATCTGAGGACGTGATCTCGAAACGATAGTCTTGTACATGATTTGACGATTTGTTGGATATCTATCAATAATGGTTGAGACTAGCTCCAGATTAAACCCCATATCATCCCAAATGTATCCGTACATAAGCATGAACCCGCTCCGACCCCTTTCTGCGCGGGGCCACCGGATAGATATTGCGGATGATTTTAGAGGAGAGTATCCGTATATCTCACTCAGCTAGAATGTGATGATATCTAAACGTCAGCTGATACTATCTCTGACGGCCTCAGCTGTAATCTTGGAGTCGATTTCTTTAATTCTGTAGCTCAGGAACAGGAACCAACCAGAAAGAACAGCTCAGCTGCAAGTAGTCCTTGGATGCATCGGCGGCGTTTCCAGATTCGAGTCCTATTGGCGCCAGTAAACACCCTCCAAAATCTATAAGCGGGCCGTGGCGAGCTGTGGTTTTACCGAGCTATCTTGTGAAAGTAACGAGATTCTATCGCGAGGTCCATGTCTTACTATGAAGGGTTTGGATTGGTAGAAACAAAAGAGTCTCTTGGTCAGGAGGATATGTTCCTTCTCTGTGCCAACTCTCTGATTCGTGACTATCGCTATCAGCTGAGAAATGGAATGAATGTTGTTCCAGAGTACATCCTGTCTCTGCCTTATTAAATGGCTGCCCAATAAACGATGCAGTCGTTTTGCCTGTGGCGTCCGTTGAAGTAACCCAACAAGGAGACGCCAAGACCGCCCCCGGTACCGTCATTTCAGGTGCTGGGATCAATCCAGTTCTAGTTCCTTTTTTTCCCTCTTGACTTCTCAACCATCATGCGTCTTGTCCTTGTCATTGTTCATTCCTTTCTCCTCTGAACTATCTATTCTTCTCTCCTTCAATTCTACTCTACTGCACTACTCTTGAATCTTTAATCATATGTTAACTCTCCTTAATTCTTTGAAACCCTTCCTCAACAATCGTCTCATCTTTCCCCATCAACCAAGGCTTGGCTCTCCGGCTTATTCGCAGATCCTTATCCTACTGAGAAAGAGAAAAAAACGAGTGCTGGACTATTTCCGCCAACCAAACTCGGCTATCGCTGTCCCCGCGTCCAGTTAACCGCAGGGGTTCTTTCCATACTTCACCCAACTTGTCCCGAGACTTGCTGATTCAACAACAACCAATTGCACTCTTCATTCATCACTCGTGCTCTCGACAAAGCCTCTCTCTGCATGTGAATTATCCAGCAAACTTCACCAACCGATTAACAGCGTCACTTGATGCATTGAATCTACTCGTCGACATTACAGTTGCAGCGTTACAACGCTTGCCAGCTTACTGTACTTCTCTTGTCCAATTGTCGCGGCATAAACAATACAGAATTTCGTTAAAGTTATTAAGCCGCCGCCATGTCCGACGTTACCACCGCCATCACTTCGGCCTGTGCCTACAAGGCTCGTGATAGCGATAATATAGCGACAACATCTGGTTCCGATATCCGACCCGACGCCGAACCCCGAAAGCGACGACACTCTTTCTTCATTCCTAGGAGACGATCCATTGTCGGCCATATAATGGACGGCGAGGAGGGTCTCTTGCTCAAAGTCGACTTGTTCCTTTCGGAGCTCGAGCGCCGTCTCGACTTTATCGAGAACTATGTCGACCTCAGCAAGGACTCGAGCATCTCGCGCACCTTTTCCACCCTTCAGGCTGTTCGGTCAAGATGTTCTCACGCCTCAGAAGAAGTTCTTGGCGCCGGAAGACGTCGTCTACACATCATGGTTGACACCCTCGAGACAAGATACAAAGAGACTTTAGAAGCCGCCGAGTCATTGAACGAAAAGGCTCATATGGGAGTCGACCTGCTTGAGACTATGCTCTCCGACTTTGAGACCCGCGCCTACAAGTTGCGCGAGCAGGGTTTCGCAAATGCCGCCAACGCCGCCGAGGCTTTTATGGACGAGGGACGTCGAGTCGCAAACGAGGGTATCGAGCGCGCAATCCAAGCCGCCTACTCTCTAGAGGAACATATCCAGCAGGCTATTGTTCTGGCCAAGGAAGGACGTCTTCTTTCCTATGACGACCTCCCCTCTCCTTGGCGCAACAACCCCCACATCCACAAGGGTTATCGCTTCACGGAGTCTAAACTTGATTGTATTCGCTCAGCCTTTGATCTGTCCAACGAGTCGGTCAACATTTGGTCCCATGCGCTCGGTCTCGTATTGGTCCTGGCCATTGCGCTCTACTTTTATCCTAATACTGCCAACTTTAATCTCAGCAGCAAGTCCGATGTGTTTGTCGCCGGAGTCTTTTTCGTCATGGCTTGCTTGACACTTGTCTGCTCTACAATTTGGCACACCATGAACGCCGTGGCTGATGTGGATGCTATTTCGACCTTTGCCTGCGTGGATTATACTGGTATCTCGCTATTGATCGCTGCCTCAATTATGACGACAGAATACACGGCTTTCTACTGCGATCCCCTTAGCCGGTATACCTACATGGGTCTAACAGCTTTTCTTGGAATTGGTGGCGTCATTCTCCCTTGGCATCCTCGGTTTAATGGTGCCGACATGGCTTGGGTTCGTGTCGCTTTTTATGTCGGTCTAGCTTTGACTGGATTCCTTCCCATGGTTCAGCTTGGATGGACTCACGGCCTTGACTTTGTTTACGACTTCTACTCTCCCATTTCCAAATCAATGCTTGTCTACTTTTCAGGTGCCGTCGTCTACGCCAGCAAGATCCCTGAGAGATGGTATCCCGGTTGCTTTGACTACATCGGCGGAAGCCACAATCTCTGGCACGCTGCCGTCCTCGGAGGCATCCTGTTCCATTACTCGGCTATGCAGACATTCTTTGCCAATGCTTTCCACCGAGCTGAGGGTGGCTGCCCTTCCTACTAAGAAGCTGAAACATGAGAATGGCGTTTGCCAACGAACCTACCACCACCTAGTCGGGCCTTTCCACGACGATTGAAAGTATCGCATAGTTGATTGGCTCTGCCACATATCGGCAAGCTCGATTCGAGTTATGATCAACTCTGCTAAACCGACGGTAAAACTGATTGCAGCGCCGCCTGAGTCGCAATATACTTTGGCCGAGTACTTATCTTGTATCTCACTACCTCAGTCTTCGGTTTCGACCAGCAGCGATACTATCAGGGAGCAGATCAAGAACAGCACGTTCGTCTGCCACGTTCCACATTCACGTTGACGAGTATCTACGATTTGACGATCATAACGTGAGTGACGGTAAACAAAAGTCGCACTTCAACTTCCTTTTCGGGGAGCTCAAGTCTTATGTCGTCTGACGAAAAATCACATGCATGTAAGCCGGCGTTGAGTTTGATTGATAGAGTGTTGAAGTCCAACACATGACATGATGTATGTGCGAACCAGAAACCACACTTTCGCTTTGTTTCGCTTCGATTCACATGTAAATAGATAATAGATAAACCAAGTAGTCGTATATTCATTCATTAATTCATCGCAAGTATCTGTGCTTTTAAGAAGGTCCTAGTGCCTATTATGAACCCTTTCATCATTCATGTTCCATCATGTTCCTCCCAATCATAACGCATTTGATCATTAACCATAAACAAAACAAAAAAAGCAAAACAAAGCCTGTCCAGTCTTGTCTGTTGCAAAACCCTGGAAGGCGTAATGGCGGTATTCAATAAGGCTTCCGCCGCAGGATCCATAAGCTTATGAGCTGTTGTACAAGGGACTCAGCTCGAGATTAGATTCCGATTCGCGAGGTGGTATTAAGACCCCTGCCCATGCTGTGCCTCTACTCTGTGTCATCTCGGGACTCAGGGCTATCGAGCAGCATAAGATTAGGTTAGCCTCGATTAGAGAGCGTGAGATACGATCTCGGCATAAACATCATCCGGAATCTTCTTGATAATGCCAATAGTGACGGATTTGACGAGATCCGCATTGAGCTGGGGGAACGATCTCAAGACCTTGTTCGGGCTGACGAATGTTAGCAGTCATTCCGATCAGAGCTCTGTGTGCAATTCTTACCTGGGTGACTGTAAGATCTGTGACCGCATGATAGTGAGTTGTGCCACGATGCAAACAATGTTGAGATGCGGCCCATAGGCGAACAGAAAGTCCCACAGCCGTAGGACTTCGGGGAGAGGAGGTGTACAAGCGCATAGCGTCAGGACAGAGGGGAAAGCGTAGATCTCGGCTGAAAGCCCCTTTGCAGTAAGATACATGCTCAGCTTGGGGTCTACAATTGCGAGTACTTTATCCACAAGGGCAAGACCTCGATGGACACCATCCATAGCACCACGGATGTAACCAGGACATTCGCGAGTTAGTAGCGAGTGGAATGCTACAAACGCTTCTGCCTCACTACGAGCTGCATAGAGAAAAGGGGCAGCCAGAACATTCATACCCTGAACGTAGGTGCCAGGCTCCAACGATCTAGCGCCAGCGCCAGATTCGGAGCCTTCTGTAGTGAGCGTCAAGGCACGAGCGCGGTTTCGAGCAGTAGGAGAGGATGTGCTTGCGTTTGAGTGAGAACGGCCCGAGATACTACTGCCACCAGGAAGCGAAGCTCGGCTGCTGGTGGGACGGCTTTGGCGGGTTTCCTCGCGGGTGTCATGGAGCTTCCACGCAATTGCGTTGAGGAGCCGAATAAGACTGGCCTCGCTGACACGGCGGCGGAAGAGAGGATCTGTTGTAAGAGTACGGAATGTGTCGTTACGGATTTTGGAGTAGGCTGGGGAAGCGCCTCGGTGAATGAGCGCGAGATAGTCGTCGGTCGATAGAATAGGGGCATCGAGAAGGACGAGCCAGACGTATATTCTCAACGTTGACTGCAAGACTATTAGTTTCAAGAACCAACCGGTAATGAATTGTTTTTGGTCTTACCATGCCATCTTCAGCACTCTTGACACCTTCATCAATGACCTTCCAGCGCGCACTCTCCAAAGCGCCCAAGAAATCCCCATCAGTCGGCCCCTCGCGTATAATCTGATGCAACGGTAAATGGCCATGCGAGAAGACGGGCTTCTTACTCCCGGCACGTTTGCTAGCCGTAACAACGTTCATCTGGTGTACGAGGGGCGGGGTGGCATCGCTATTAGCTCGGCCTCGTTGGGGCGAGCGATTAACGTTCTGGTTTGAAAGTGGAGGAGTCGATTTTGTTGGTGAGGCGCTTCCATTGCTTTTGGCATTAGAATTGGAATTGGTAGTGGCAGTGACAGTGGTATCACGCTGATCGTCGCGCTGTCGCTGCTGGGAGATGAGGGAGGGCGTTGCCTGTTCGCGGGCGCGGGCGCCGAGAGTATGTGCGGATTGAAGACGACGAAGGGCGCGATGAGTGCGCGGCGATGGCGGGGCTTGGAGTTGTGTTGTTACAGGGGCGGGAAGCGAGGGGATTGACGCTTTGAAGCTGGCGTTGAGGTTGGAGTTTGATGAAGGTTCCGACATGGCTGTTGTGATATTGAAGAGTGTCGCTGAAGTGCTGCGACAAGCATAAGAAGACAAAGAAGGGAGGAAGTATTATACAAAAGATTCAAGGAGAATAAGTGACGAGGTTGTCGAATATAGCTGCCCAGTGATAATTATTACTAGGGCTGATGTCGTTGAAAGGATCGAAATGTGTAGTGTTTTCCCTTAGCGGGGAGGCTGGAGGTTGATTAAAGTCTTGGAAAGGGCACTCAGCAGCACAAGGGAGGAGAGGGAAGGAGACAAAAGATGTCGCCGGGGAGACAAATTGATTGAATCAATCGTGTTTGTTTCGCGTTTTCAATTAAACCTGCATCCAATTATTGTATTAATTAAAGATACCTATATATATAAGGTTAATAGTTTCAACGGTTCTTTGATATTGAACCTTTTTAAATGTTTCGTCATGTCTAGTGCCACGCTCTCAGCGCAACGTCTTGTTCTTTTTCTTGGTTCATGGGACTGGAATGCACGTAATTGAGAGGCTGGTTATCAGCTACATGCTATTTTGAGATTACGATCGGGGCTGGTCAGGCCGATCCACCGACTTCACATGCATTTCAACAAGGATATATATATTGATCCAAGAATAAGAAGGATCTAAGAATGAAATAGATATTGGGTGTTGGATATCAAAGAATACCATCTTGTCAAGATCATATATGTCATCATGCGATACAGGGCAGAATCCTAATCAATACTGTCTGTTGTAGGCTAGACTATTAACTTGTGGTTTCAATACAAGGGCCAAACAAATGCCACTGTCTCTTAAGTTACGGCAACCTACTCTATAGTTTAGTACAATTCCCTATCAATTTCCTAGAAGGAATAGTTCTCTTAATAATACTAGACCATCGCTAATCTGCTTCGATCTCAGTCCAGTCCAGTCCATGTCATGACTCTGGCTTATTCAAGGATTATTTTAGTGATAGACCGTGGGGTTTAGTCTAGTTTACTCAGGCCGTTGCACTATTACCATGATAGGTAAAGTGGCGATTGCGACATCGGTCATGCCAAACATAAACACCCATTTTTATATCATTCTTCCTCTCAGAAGTTGGTCAACTCTTGATCCTTGAGCAGAAAAAAAGATGGAGAATATTACTGGAAAAAGATTATGGCTCTTTGATAGCCTATCATGTATCCACGCAATCCCGATTGCCGATAGTCCGGATTACCAAGTCAATCCCCCGATTTCTTTGAAATTTTACATCATGAATAAATAATGTAATGCAGTTCTTACCATCGCATCTTTCATACTTGAATGTCGTCTTCACCCCTACAATATTCGTCAGCGGCATGACCTAACCTCACAGACACCAGCTGAGCACCGTTGATATCTTATTCGCTAGAGCAATATCTTCAGCTCAAATAAGCTGTACACCCACTTCTATATTAAAACAGCTGGTTGCAGTATCACCTGGCACTTTCAACTTGACAAAGATCCACTATCGCTGGGGCATTTACAAGCAGCTATCTGCCATGTTCCGACTATTATAAACATTGTTTCATCTTATCGCAGGCTCTGGCAGCCTCGCCAGTTTTGTTTCGGGACCTACCTCTCTAACACAAAGTTACAACACTAAGAAACATATCGACTGCTACAATGACAGGCCAGAGGAAACTGGGCCATGGCCTAGCTAAAGTCCTCGGCATCAAACTAGACGACCAAAACCAAGACCGCCCAGAAACAAGTGATCAATCGGTCCTCTCATCACAAAGCGGCAGCTCATTCTACGAAACCGAGCCCACATCAGCAGAATGGGTCAAAGAACAAATTCCGTCCAAAGAAGATCTCATCACTTACGGTGTTTCATTATTCCCATTCTCAAATTGGATCAGTCACTATAATCTGCAGTGGTTTGCAGGTGACTTGGTCGCTGGTATTACGATTGGCGCAGTTGTGGTACCACAAGGAATGGCTTATGCCATGCTTGCCAACTTGGAACCACAGTTTGGTCTTTACTCATCCTTCATAGGGGCTTTGATCTATTGGATATTTGGGACATCTAAGGATATCTCGATTGGTCCTGTTGCTGTTCTTTCTACTGTTGTCGGCAACGTTGTTCATGACATTCAGAACTCTGGGCAAGACATACCGGCTCATGTCATTGCATCCGCCTTGTCCATCTCCGCCGGGTTCATTGTTCTTGTTGTTGGAATGCTCAGGTGTGGATGGATTGTGGATCTCATCTCTATTACCTCACTCTCAGCTTTCATGACTGGCTCTGCTATCACGATCTGCGTTGGCCAACTACCAGCCTTACTTGGACTATCCGGCTTTTCGACTCGAGAATCACCATACAACGTCTTTATGAACACTATCGAGCACTTGGGAGAGGCGAGCTGCGATGCTATCATCGGGTTATCAGCCTTATCTATCTTGTACCTTTTCCGACAGGGGTTTACGGCCGCGGCCGAGCGATACCCCAAGCATAAAAGGCTCTTGTTCTTCACCAATACCATGCGAACGGTGTTTGTTATCTTGACATACACGATCATTAGTTGGGCTTTGAACAGACACAGACGAGAAGATCCCCTCTTCAACATTCTAGGAGCTGTGCCTACAGGGTTTCAAAACGTTGGAGTGCCCAAGATCACGACAGAGCTGATTTCGGATTTCGGCCCCTATCTGCCAGCAACCGTTATAGTCTTACTTGTCGAGCACATAGCCATCTCGAAATCCTTCGGGCGAGTTAACAACTACACGATCGATCCCTCGCAAGAAATGGTTGCTATTGGAATGGCCAATCTCATTGGGCCCTTCGTTGGGGCGTTTCCATCCACGGGATCTTTTAGTCGCACTGCAATTCAGTCCAAGGCTGGCGTGCGAACACCTGCTGCTGGCATAGTTACTGGACTGGTTGTTCTGCTTGCAACATACCTGTTGACGACTATCTTCTTCTACATCCCAAGTGCGGCTCTTGCAGCTGTTATCATACATGCAGTTGGTGATCTCGTTACGCCTCCAAACACCATCTATCAGTTCTGGAGAGTTTCACCAGTCGAGGTGTTCATTTTCTTTACCGGAGTGATCGTTAGCATATTTGCCCATATCGAAGCCGGACTTTACGCCACCGTTCTCTTTTCAGGCGCTGTGCTCATATATCGAATTCTCAAGGCGCACGGCAGGTTTTTGGGCAAAGTCAAGGTTCACTCAGTCATTGGGGATCATGTCATTGGCGACGATCACCGCAAAGTCGTCGGGAAGTTTGGGACGACGGAGAATCTGGATATTTCCGCAAGAAATGTGTTTCTGCCGCTCGATCATGACGACGGCTCAAACCCAGAAGTCGAAGTCGATCATCCATACCCTGGAATCTTCATCTACAGATTCTCTGAAGGCTTCAACTACCCGAACGCCAATTCTTCTCTCGACTATCTTACCGATTTTATCCAGTCAAACACACAACGAAGCAGCCCCGAAGCATTCGAGCGACCAGGAGATCGACCATGGAACAACCCAGGCCCGAGGAAATCTGCCAAGCGACCTGCTCACGTGGATCCAGACTCGACGCTCCCGACATTGAAGGCGGTGGCTATGGATTTTAGCTCCGTTAACAATGTTGACATTACGGCTATACAGCGATTGATCGATATACGAAATCAACTTGATTCCTATGCCTCTCCTGATGGAGTCGACTGGCACTTCGCATGCATTAACAATCGCTGGACCAAACGGGCTCTCATAGCAGCAGGATTCGGAGTTCCTTTCAGACCCGAGGAAGAGGGAATTCATCGCAGATGGAAATCGATTTTCAGCGTGGCAGAAATTGGAGACAGAGACTCAGCTCTGATCGAGGAAACGGACTATCACGATTTCACACCAGTCATAGAGGAAGAGCCATTGATAGGAGGCATGCCCTCTGCGCAATCTTATGGATCTATGTCATCGGGAGAGTTAGAAAAGCAAAGACGGAGAGGTGCCGTGGTTCACGGTCAGAATAAGCCGTTATTTCATGTGGATTTGACGAGTGCTTTGCAAAGCGCCATCGCCAATGTAGAAGGGAGGCCGGCTCAGGAATAATGATATACATGAGGAAACGAAGAAATGAAAAGAGCAAAGCATATTGATGATGTGTTGGTTTTAGTTATAGACAGACATAAAGAAGGCAAGCGAGTCGGTCATTTGTTACATGATATAGATTTCATATACCGGCTTTACATGGATGGTCACATATTTGTTATAAGTCAAAGCTGACGATGCTACTCATAATTACTGACTCCCACGAACATAACTGCCTGCATGCCGCTTTACGGCTGAGACTTGAATACCTGATTTCAGACCACAATATCAGAAACACCAAAAAGAAACATACAACACTGGGGATTCGCTGGTCGTCACCG